TTTTTCGAAGGCGGGTATGAGCAACTGCTGGCTCCACTTCACCAGGACAGTTTCATATTCCCAAATACACACAAACAACCTCATCAAGGAGGGACATAAATATTCTCCTGAGCCTTTGAAATAGGCTGGGGGGAGTTCGTTTGGCCCAGCAACCTGATGGTGCTTAAGGCAGAAAGTCATATTGCTACTTCATCAACAGAGGAGGAACCAAATCAGACGGATGATAGCTCAAAATGAACAGTTCAAAATAAAGATATGGGTGCAGGAGCTGTTAAAAATTTTCCCACCCATCGATATGGACGCTTGTTTTTATTATATGTTAGACTTCTATCATCATTATCATCATCGACAACATGACATCATTGTTCAACACCGATGCTCCACTGCCGTACAACCAGCTTCACTGCCGTACTTCTATGGCTGATGGCAATGAATTAGGGTGTAAAAGGATGGGAGGCGCCAGCAATCGTTGTTTTCACCCTCCTGTATGCAGTAAAAATGCGACCCAGCTGATGTCATCTAGCGAGGACTGGTGTGACATAAAGGTATTGGTGTCCGTACATTCCATTGTTGCATGTAAACAGAGATATTGTCTGAGAGTTTTCATGCGTACTACGGGATAAAAAACCGTTGTGACTGCTATGAATACCACCCGGCAGCATAATTTATGTAAACCAAATGAATACATGAGATTCGGTCCTAGGAGATGCTTTTTTCAGCCATCTAGGTAAAAATACCTTGCATATGGGAGGCGGAGTGAGGTTTATTAGTGATAAGATGTTACCCTGAGTGGGCCTGTTTCAATTAGTTACTGATTGGGACACAACCTAAAGCCACCAGCTTTTGCTGGTGGTTAGACTTCAGTTATGCACTGTCCTCGCGAGCTACACTGGCTAAAATTTCGTCCCACAAGGTGCAAGCCTATAGGAATACCAGAAGGCAAAAGTCATACGAAGAGTTGTAAGTCCCCGGACTACAGGTAATCTTATTACGGTATGATCTGGAGGTAAACTCATACCGTCTTCTGTGAGTGGGATGTAAAGACAGTGAGTTGTTTCTCCCAGAAGATCAATATATCCATATCGATGGAAGCAGCGGTTTTGGCGTATACCAACGGAGAACAGATTAGTAAAATTTTTCCTAAATCATGCACTCCGTCGCTCACTGGTTAGCCGTGGCCATCTACGATTTCTTCTATACGGGAGGAAAACGAATGATCTCTACGATGAGTGTTAAACGCATCCGCTCCGCTTGACAGCATAAGGAGTGAAAAAGAAGTCTATTTCCTGGGATTTCTGACTGAGGAAGCCCCCTGCCACCAAACAGGTCAGTCCATTGCATCGGCTCTGGGCGGGGCTTCTCGAGAAAACCAGACTGACCGCTTTCTGGCCAAGCAACCTTTTGAGACTAAGGTTAGCGTCATGGTCCCCAAAAGTAAACGTATGTCTCTCCTGCTGTCTTGTGGATCAGATTTTTGGGTCAAAGGCACATAGTGGGTACCTTAACTTTCCACCCTACAAGCGAGCGTTGATGGACCATTTGATCTTCAGTGATCTGACCGATGTGCCTTATACACTGCGCTACCCATTGACGGTGAACGAAATAACACTGCTGAATCCGCCATTTGTTTCCTATGCAGGAAATTTCAGCGTTCGCACTTTAGGTCAAATTGTCAAACAAGCATCGTTTACCCAGGAATTCTTCTTTTCTAACATTGATGTGTCTCTGAATTACACATTCAAGAGAATTAAGCGTGGCTACGCATCTTGAGGTGCACAGGGTGAACTCATTCACGTTTCAGTCTCTGCGTGTCTGGTAACCCAGAAGCGATGACGGGTGGCCTGGATGGAATGCAGATTTGCATTCTTGCTCAGAGCTGAACGACCGGNGAATGCGGATTTGCATTCCTTGTCAGAGCTGAACGCCCGGATTAGATTCCATTAATCAGCTTCTTTGTGCCTTCCACTTACGGCCGATTCAGCCCAACGTTACTGGATATAAAAAACGGTGGTTTTTCACTTTGTCGGCACGCTCCTCAACGGACTGTAGTTCTCACACCGAAAACGATATCCTCTATCGAGAATTACGGACCTTCAGTAGTTAAGCAGGAAGAATGGACATTGTCATCCTTGTGGGCGACATAGATGCGCAAGTCAGGGTTCCTTGGAATCATATTTTTGCGGTCGATTCTGAGACGATGCTCACCGCACAGTCAAGGGAGTTCGGCTTCTACATTTGTGTGCTGACCATCAGTTGTTTTGACCCCGTATGAATTTTCAACTTGAAAGCTCGCGTCATGTAACCTGGCAATAATCATGTATATACCAAACGTATACCAAACTGGATCACCTATCAATCCCCAGAGGGGAGCCACAGATCATGACTATAGTTCCTTCCAGGGCACGCAACTGGGTTCCGACCACGTCATAGTGCGAGTACCCCTGACAAATAGCTTTATCTCAGACCTCACCCAGCAAATCAGCGAGAAGCACGGTAAAACGTTATCTTCGTAAACTAGTTCAACTCGGCAGTAATGATCTGACCTAAGTCAATTACTCTGTGCAATGAACCAAAACAGTGCCAGGTACGTGGATAATGCGCGACAGTGTGTGAGGATCTATGCCGGCGGCATTCAAATCTGTCTGGTTGACTTCTCTGATACGATCAAACAGTTAGTGTATATTACCAAGATCGCTTGTCCTGAATGATTCCAGGAAATATATATTAGCCTACAACCAAAACGACCCCCGTTGAAATCCCTCAAACACAAAATAGTGGAGTCTAAGAGAAAACAGAGAGCTTTGGCTACGAAATCCCAGATTATGGATAAGGCTCTGTCACCGGAAACAGTAGTTTCATATGCCACTCAGTGAGACAGATCGTCCAAAGGAAAGCGAAACGGTAACTGAAGAAGATGACCTAGTAATCCAACCGCAAAAAGTTGATCAGGAAGATGAATGGAACATTTTAAAGAGGCGTCCTGGAATACAGTTCCATGACGGCCAACGTAATGTCAACACCAACAACGTACGAAACGCCCCTTTTCAGACACTAGAAGGTAACATGACCGAAAGTTCTGCATCTGACCCTCTTTAAAAAAGGTATAAAATCGGTCGTGGACTGAGGAGTTTTCAGCAACCTTATGAGTAGAGCACTACAAAAGGTATAGAACCGCTGCTCATTTACCTGGCAATATAAAATCGTCGTGGACTGAGGAGTTTTCAGCAACCTTATGAGTAGAGCACTACAAAAGGTATAGAACCGCTGCTCATTTACCTGGCAAAACTTATTGGTGTTACGTGGACTGGGGAATAAAAATGCCTGCACTATGGAGAAAACTGACAATCAACCACATGTTCAGGGTGAGTGAACACTGTTCAGAAATCATCGTCACATTGGCTTCTTAGCTGTGGCATCCAAGCTGTTCACTGGTCTCATGCTTCGGAGGTTGACTTAAAAAAGAAAGGAAGGTCTGTGAAAACCAAGCTGGATTCAACCATGCGAGGCGTTGCTCCGATCACACCTCACTCTCCAAAAGATCCTAGAACAGCGACATCGCTTCCAGCAACCAGCATTAGTGGTTTCCCCTAACCTGAAAGCTGCCATTGACTTTCTGGATTTTCAGGCACTGTAGCAGTGCATGTGAAGCAGTGACGCCCCTCATAGTCGCCGGGCTCTCCTTAACCCACTGTACACCAACTGCTGTGGATGGATGGATGCCTGAACAAGGGTCTCACCTGAGTTCACTATATCAAGTGGTGTCAAGCCAGTATGTCATCTTTCACCTTTCCTTTTCGAATTCGTCATTGATATGGTCATGAAAGACCTATCCCCGGCTCCACTGCCTGGGGAATAGGCAGTAGAGCCGAAATGCTCCAGGAATGTTTCCTCACATATACAATATACATGGAAGATGGAGTTTCTCACGAATTTTTTCACATTTTACGTGCAAATGCAGTGGAAATTAAATAAGTTGATTCTGTCCCACAGTTTGGCGTGCGCTTCACACCTACAAGATGTAGAGTGCTGCTACACGACCAGGTAGGGCCAAGCCAAAACCGCATGATTTTGTATGAGCTGACTGTGGTAGCAGACAATTTTTCTCACAGAAGTGCTGTAACATGCATTTCTTGAAATTACGAAGCGGCTAGTCCTGGCCTACTAGCTTTGCAAGCCACTTGGTCCCGACCACCACGTCCTACTACTTACTTAGCACAAATACTTATCTTTTTAAGGAACACCTGGTGGAGTACAGCTTTTAACGTGATGATGATGTTTTTGCAGTAGTCAGTAAGGTAGAATGACTTGAACCAGACGACGTTTGCAAAACGGGTCAGTTTTTTAAATGTTTCATGAGGTTTCATGAGGTTCCTTCTAAAGAAGCTGCACTTAACTGAGGAATGTGGTACATTTTGTTTCCTCCACTTACGGACACCTACGACGCAAAATAAAATGGAGATCACAAGATAATAGGCTAGTTTTTTGAGCGAGAGACCGTTATCAAGTTGTTAGCGGTTTGAGTGAAATTGCAATATCGTCGTCCCTTTGTCCAAGCGATGGAATCAAACTTATAAATGTTCTCCCTGGATTCCACATAGGTAGGAAGAGCAGGCAACAAAACGGAGTATGGATCGCTCGTTTCCCTGCCACTTGTAGAGGAAAATGTAACAAGACCGGTACACATATTGTTGTTGATAGTGTTGAGAAAAAATGATGACCAAACCGATGAGTATGGTGCAAACCAGAGAGAAGAAAAAACTCTAATCATACACAGAGTTCAAGGTTTGTTATATGATTTAATCAGGATTAAATTCTCAGCCACTAGAATGGAAAAGCGCTATTCTCGGAGGAAGTTACTTTCTGGGTCGCAGCTCATAACTCACATCTTTCAATGCTGACAGTTTGAAGTCGATCATTTCGCTTGCATGATGCATCTTACTACGTATCTATCGCATGTGAAGTTCACCTAATGTCCATGTATTTTGCATTTCTCCTCAAAGGTGTGAAGTTCCGGCAAACAGTTATGTGGACTTCGTCCGAGTAATCTGGCCCGGCGGACTGAAAACAACCAAGGAGCCCAATTTAGACTTACCTTTTAACACACCAATCTCATCTGCTGTGCATACTGCTCGCTCGGATGGCGCAGTTCAGAATGTTTGGGATATATTTCACCGGAGTATCATCAGTCAGAAGCGAAATATCACGGAAATTGTGGCGCGATTTCGTGAAGATTTGGCTCGATCAGAAACGACGTCCAGCTATAGGTGGGTTACTTTGGATGGATATTTTCGTGGCATTTACTTGGCAACCTATCATTTGTTTCAAAACATCAAAACTAACGGAGCAAATCTTTGTTTTATGCAAACCAATACCGGATAAATTTATCGGCAAATTGGAGGGTTGCTTTACAGTGCTAGCTGAACAACACTCATCCCGCCATTGACAGTCAAAGTTACCTGATGTTGCATGAATCTTAGGCTATTTTCTGGAGGGCACACTATGCACTGGTCTATTTTCATGCACTTCGGTGCGGGTTCTAATTTCCTTTCGTCGCAGTGCTCCGGCTGAAATTCCCGTCGATGGATGTAGGAAGTGTAGTTGTGATGGCTGTCTAGTCTACATATTCTGATGCCACTGCCAGATTCCTATTCACTCACAAAAAACTGTGTCCTTCTGTATGTTATGTATTCTCCTGCAATGAATAGAATAGCAATGAGGCATATGATACACAGCGCATGTATTAATTACTAGTTTTGCGTCTCAGCCTTCTTTGTATACCGTGTAACAAATTATCCAAAATGTCTGTCCATCCCACGGACATTTGTGCCCACTTCGCACACACTATGTACCTACCGAGTTCGTGGTGCATATCTCTGCATATCTCTCTTGCATCCTGTAAATTAAAGGGGCATCATGTATGAAGTTTTTGGTTCAGCGGTAGTCAAAACTTCCCGGGAGTGAAAAAATATCCCTATATTCTGGAAACCATGTAAACAAATGATGATGAGTAAAATATGAGCGAAAATCTCTTCCACCCCTAGTTCTAGCTATTTCTGCTGTGGCTAGGGAATTCACCCAACCTTCAGATGAAGCATGCTTGCTTAAAACGGAGCTGTAAGCTGCCTGTAAAATATACCTTGACGGGACACTAACTAAAATGTCCCTCAAGAGTGGCCTCAGTAAGAACATTTTCCTTTACTTATTTTCACATCGACTTACTTACAGAGCCAGAAGCTCTCAAAACACAGCATTGATCGATCTCCTTACTAGACGTTTCAGGAAACCTGCCAACTACATTTCGGACTTAGTCCTATCAGCTGAACTACGCCTCTCCAACTTACGGAGACCCAGGTTCCACAGAACTTTCACAAACCTCTGGCACTGCCAACCGCCCTGTCGTTTTTCAAGTCTAGGCACGGGCGATTAAAATTCGCATCCATGTTGGATAGGATGAAGTGCAATAATAGAACTCCTTCATGTATAGATAACGACAAAACCTATCCACTCGACAGAGTGCTTCTGAATGCCGTTGAATTAGATAGATCTAAGAAATTCGTCTTCTTGTTATAGGGTTTTTAAAATCGGTCCACAGACCATATTCTCCTCACAGTCAAATATATGCACTACTCATTAGCCCCACCAGTCCAAACCCTGCCTTTGTTCGACTATTCAAGGCAAGTGGATTTTTCAGCTAAAAGTGAAACGAATGCAGAAAACTTTTGACAGTAAGTAGTTCAACCTTGTCCACAACTCCATACACCGTGTCAGCTGAAAATCTAATTAGACGGTAAAACTAAGCCCTCTTTTGATAAATTAGAAAACACTGTAAACCATTTAATTTGATTACCCCTACCTAAGGTATAAACAGGCTTGTAATCTGCAGAAAAAACTCAATATCAAAATGCCTTGTAGATGTTTATGTTCCGGGTGAACTACGCTCACAAATGCTATGGTGAGCTAAGTCTCTCGCATTTTTCTAGGAGCTCAAAAGCTCAGTTTTACTAAATGAAGCACAATTACCTGTTTCGACAACCTCAGTGATTCAGTCTCATGTGTAATCATCTCACTATACTATATTGAGTGGTCTTATCAACTGACCTGTACGCCCAACGCTTCTCCTGCACTGTGGCTAGTAACCACCACTTTACTAACTATTTCGAGTTATTTTTCTAGATTGCTCAAATAATAATTTCGTGTCTGTAACATTTACATATTCCAGTTCTCTTTTACCTTTGTACACAAATCATCTAAGCGCTGACCTTAACCGGGATTTGCCGTTTCAGACAGAGATGTTTTGATATGTCTTCGTCTAATTTAGTTGAAGAGATGCAGTTCTTTTTAGTTCCCCTGGATGGGTTGTGAATTTGTTGTAAATTGAGGCCTGTCTTGTCATGCGTGCCAAGAATGCGCCTCGTTGATATTTATTGCTGGACAGGCACTTTTTTCCTTATGGGAACTAGAGGACCGCCAGCATTTGAATTGCTACTCACCCCGAAAACCATATGCGGCAAGGCTACAGGACAGTCCCTGTTTTACATCATTATTCCGTAATTAATGATTGGACACTAACAATATTTGGTTGGCAGCTGATGGGTTAGTTGATAAGAAAACCCGATATTCGAAGGAGATTTTCATAGGAACTGACGTGAAATAAACTAGAAATAAAAAACTAACGCGATAAAAATGTCGAGCTACCGCAGTCCAAATGTTCTGCCTAAAACTTCCCACAAAAAGTCATCTATGTTTTGATGGAGATCCGAATGCATTTAGGGAAGCCTTTTCCGGCAGCTGATACCCGTTATGCTTGTATGATCCACTAATTTAAAATCACTTTAAAATCCAAACTTGGCTAGCACACTATCTTCACCTGATGGTTTGGAATCAGCTCCCTAAAAGGAGAGACGCCTGAGTTACTGCCATGCCTGCTGAACTGTCCCATCTTTCGTGTCGGTGGGTGCAATAACAACTGTCTTGGTAGGCGAGTATATTTAGGTATTGGAAACCGAGTAGTAATATTTTGCTGCAAATTTCACAGGGCCAGAATGGTGAGAAAGCTAGCAAGCCCCTAATAAAACTGTTTTTTCTCTGTAAAATGGTCTGTGCTTGATATACACCTCCCTGTCTGACCCATTTACTCCCATTTTCTTCTCACTCTAATTGCCCAAATGCTGAGTGATTCGGATGGGGACGTGCGGTATTGAACCTGGAGCCATTTGGTCCAGCTAAATAATTTTGTTTTCAGCTAGTGACGTTTTAGAAACGCACCTGCTAGGGAAGTGCTGGCACCAGGTACTATTTTATTTTATATCTAAAGTGTTCTTTGATAAAGTTGTAGCAGTCGTATCCTGCGTAAGGAACTAGCTGACAATAACGATAAGTGTCCCTTAGTGTGATGATTACACTGGAATATTTTAAAATTCTTCGTTGTATTTCACTGCCTGCTGTAGGCAGCACGATAGACTAATTCAACAGAACAAAGCGACTGCTCACTTGTACCACTCCAAAACCCAGCTTTTTCTATCAGCTAAAGCTCTTGAGCTGAAAAAATGTTCGATCATACTGCCATTCCGACTAAGACTTCGTGGGACATTCTGCCACACCAAATGCACAAAGATGCGAAATTACATCCCTCTTCGACATTAACAGCTACGAAATGCGTCCTATTGAATCTGAGAGAAAAAGAATGGAGTTATTTGTTCAGCTCAGGTACAACATTCGTTGTGCCTGTTTGCTATATCTCGCTCGCTTATATAACAATAACTTTGAAAGTCACTAGGATTTCACCTTTTTCTGAAAATCTTTGGAGTGTAGCCTTGTTATGTACGAGACTTGCTGTGAGTCACCATGTGACTGGTACGGCTCGGTAAAGCTGGGTTGACTGCGAGTGTTCTGTTCTTTCTTCTCTGCTACACGAGACTCTGAGGTCGTTATTAGGCATATTTGGTGAGTAAAATAATGGGGTCTCTACGTTCTGCGCATACCGTACATGCAAAAAATTAGTGACCAAAAGCAGCCACAGTGCTCATTAGTTGTACGGGCTGATTTTTTGATTGGGCATTCCATTGTGCGTTATATTCTGTCTAAAACGGAATCATACAATGTTATCGCAGTTGCCCAGCAACTTGGTTGTTTATTTTTCACTTGCAAAATGTCAGTGCACACTTTTGGTGTGCCGATAGCTTTCCCGTAAAAATTGCCCATCAGATGACAGTGAAAAATGGGCCGAGTTTAAAAACCCCTCGGAGTATTCTTGTATAAGTTTGAAGTCTGAGACTGCAGTGCAATAAATATTAACTGACCAAGTTGGAAATGAACTACAAGACAAATTGACAGAATTAGAATAACGGTACTTCCGGTCTGAAGAATTCACAATTTATGAGCAACCTAGGCGTAATACAGATAGGCCCAGTTGGCATGTTGAAATTTCTTCTGAGAACTTCTTTTAACTTCCTGCTTATGCCTTCTTTTCTGTGACCTCTCTTTTACGACATTTCAGTCCGGCATCTGAAGTCTACAAATTATTGTTCCGAGTGATGCGACCTCCCGCTGGCTCTTCAGGACGCGTGGCTCCTCGGATATTTTGGAGCCTTGTCAGCTTGAGCAGACGAAATTCTCCGGACAGAGCAGTTGGAGGCAGCCCGATTGTGACCCGACTGAATATTGAGTCGTCGGAGCTGAAATATTTGGCAATGGTTTTGAAGGTACACTAAAATGATATTCTGTGTGTATCCACTTATTCCACTATAATAGCCAGTTCTTGTGCCATCCATTGCCTATTTAATGTTTTGATAGGCGCATTTTATGCAGTGAAAATGTAACTTCGTCAAGAGGGATCCACCTCACAGTTAGCGTAATTGCACTTCTGACGCTTACAGATGACAATTTTTTAAATGCCAATTGCTCATCTGCATGTTCTGTTGTTGCATAGATAGTTTTGTGGGGTTTGAAGCATTTCCTGGCAAATATGATTCCGTGCGGTGAGTCCCTGGAAATAGCTGTGGCTTGGGTTAGAATTTTAAGTTCATAGAATTGGTTTAAATCATCAGGTTAGTTACTGCTCACTTTCAGAGAACTTTGGTTTAAGACGATAGAAACTGTGCACATCGACTTTGTGACAAAAAATTTGTAGTAACCTCGTTTTTATCGGTCAGTAGAATAGTGCCAATTCTGATTGAGGAGCCTCTAATTCTAGTAATTGAGAACTAAACGGAAAGAAGCCGGCAGTGACTATCATCAAAGTTCGATCATTACCACTTACATAGAGCTCCGACAAATGTTTCAGCGATTAGTTTGGAAACAATAGGCTTGTTTGCTTTAGGAAAGGTGCAAAATTCATGTTCTACAACCATTCTTTTTCCCAGTACTGTATCGAAGCCAGTGAATTTGGTCAGCTGAAGCATCACCCAGAGTCCAGTTCATATTATGGTGATCCACTCACTCCATGCTGCTCACTGTAATACGACATTTTGGGGATACTATGGACAAATGCAATAGACTCATGGAACATACGGGGCGCATAGACCATGTATATAAGGCTAGAGCAAAACGATCTCGTGGAAGAGCCCTGTCTTTGATTTTATGAATGTGCGCAGTTTTTCACTATTTTCTTCCCTAATTAACCATCACCACTGGTGACTCGGTTCCTACTCAAAATGCATTGGGTTGCAACTTCCCGCAATAGTTCTCAAAATCATCAGGAACGTGACCCTCTAGTTACGGACCACAAATTTGAAATATTACTAGAAGTCATAACGGACCGAGCGTTGCCCCTGGGGTAATCAGTGGTCACTAATTCAATCTTTGTGCAGTGAACCGAAACCTAGCAGGGGATATGAAGTTGAAAGGGAAACGAACCATCGTGCCTCATTTTGTGAAGATTTGACTTGTCGCATAAACCAGATAAAGTAAACAAAAGAGTTAGCGCACAGATGGTTCATGATTGTCGTCAGGTAAACATTGATGTGTCCGTACAGCAATGCATGCGCGCTTTATACTTGTGGCACTTGACATGGTCCACACACACAAAGCTTTGTGCATTCCTTGATTATGTTTTGCCCGCGTATTACCCTTTTGTACCACTAGCCACCAATCAAACACTTTGCACCACAGAATGACAAAAAAGGCACCGAAACATCTTACCAGTGTGCCACGAACTTTGCTTAAGCGTTTGGTTCATCATGGGGTGATTTCTCACTCCGCGGGTAAATTGGTGTTACATGCACAAAAGTATGTGGTTGTGTAAATTACGCTTTATAAACCTGAGTCCCTTTAATGGACACCGTTTAGCAGAAAATCTTTTATACAAAGTATCGTCGTAACAGGTACCTGCCAGTTGACTGACTTCCTAAGCTTTAATTCTGTATAGGACTAGGTACGTTTCCGATATGTATCATCAACAGTCTAGGAAATACAGGTTAAATAACAGACGAAAGTCGTTCTTAGAAACGGAATCTGGTGCGAACTCTCGCTGAGATATACCTGAAGGATCCTTCGAATGAGGTATCATGTAACCCTTGAACACGATAGCAGCGATGACCAGAGGGGACAACGCCTATAGTTTATCTAGTAGACGTTCGCATGATTGGTTTGACGTCAGATGACGAACATATGCCTGAGTTAATAAAGTGATATGGAGGACTCACATCATAATCCGCAGCTGCTGATTCCACTGCATCACAGATCTCATTAGAAAAGTGTTTAACGAGCGTACGACAGGACGTAATAACTATTGGTTCTTGGCCTATCGGTCGAGCCCTGGAATTAGATTACAAACGTTTCGTCACTAGTTAAAGAGATGCCGTCACCGGAAACCTTGCACTGACGATGTATCCTCGATCGGCAGCGAAACGTTTGCAATTCAAATGCCGAAGTTGGTAACCAAAACCAACAGCCAAGCAGTGCATTCGAGCTACCCATATTCGGCAGTAGACTTGCCACCATGTCTACCACCAAGACGGACACCGCAATCATGTGTACCATAAATGTAGCTGACAACAATCACGGAATACTTCTCAGCAAAACAGCTCAGTAATTTAGAAGCTGCGACTAACCATCAAAGCAAGTGAAGCAACACACAGTAGAAACTGATAAAGTAGGTAAGTAAGTGAGCAAGTAAGTAAGTAAGTAAGTAAGTAAGTACGTAAGTAAGTAAGTACGTAAGTAAATAAGTAAGTAAGTAAGTAGGTTAGTTAGTTAGTAGGTAAGTAAGTAAGTAGGTTAGTAAGTAAGTGAGTTAGTAAGTAAGAAAGTAAGTAAGTAAGTAGTTAGGTAAACTGGGATTCCACACAAATATTTTCGTCAGCATTTTTATAAACCATGTTTTAGTCTGGAATTCCACTCAGACTATCTATCCAATATTATTGTACCCATGAGTAGAATTCGCATCTAGGGCTTCTCCACCCTAAGACAGATGATAAAAAACTAAGCCAATTATCCTTCCTGCAAGCCGACAATACATGGAAAAAACCTCGCGCAGACTGTCAGTCTTCTATCCCGTGCCGATGGGCTGCTACTGTAATAAACACTTTTCGTCCATTCAGAAACCACGTGCTTGGTCGAATACTTGATAAGCAGCGTCTGCAGTTGATATCAGCAATACTAAGTGAATATATACCTTGTCTGGAAACAGTGTGATGTGATTTCGTTTAGTCGAGTGACTATATTCAGGGCAAGTAGGTGTTGTTTCGCCCCCTGGTAGTAGATGCAACAGTACTGCCTAACTTGGGTTTAGATTGTTGTAAGAAATCGGATCAAAACAATGAAACGAAACCAGGTGACGAATCACTCCGTTTACAAAGCTGAACCTATTAAATAGCACCTCTAGGATAACCGTTCCAGTGTCAGATTGAGCATGCGGCTGAACACGTCGTTTAGCTCTCAGGATCTATCTATAATCGGAAAAACCACCCACAGCCTATTTAGTTATTTATCTGTTATCAGCTGTTGGATTTGAAAACTATGTTAAAATCAAGCCAAGTCAAATGCTTTATTCTTCGAGATTTCGGAAACTTCAAGAAAAAACTGTGAACAATTAGTTTTGTCATTTCTGCTGGCAAGCAATCATAGATACTCAGTCGCGGGTAAAATGCCACATACATATGTAACGTCACCTCCTCTTTGACTTATCCGTTGATATTGACACAGGTACCCAGCATGATATCTCGCCGTGGCCGAACGGAGCGAAATTTGTGAATCTTTATTCAGTCCCCACGAATAAAATTGATGCTAACTGACCATTTTTATTTTGAATATAATGACAACCGAACTCCACCGTGTGAATTCTGTTGGTTACAAGACAGCTTGCATTCAGTCAGGGTTATCCCATAGACTGTGCCTAGTTGTCCACATTACCAGCGCTACCCTCACGCTTGCTTCATTCGACATAGTACAAAGTAAACTGACCACTAGATGCTTCTTTGGAGCAAGTCAGATTTAAAAGCAGGTGACTGACTAGTTTCCTGGTGTCAGCTCGTTACTGAACGCGCCTTTTCTTCTTAGACTTCTGCCCTTGTGAACGTGGCTGCACTTAGTGGGAGACCAACCACTCATCCAGTCTGGGTTTATGGACTGACCCATGACGGTCAGTTGATTGATGTGACTGATCGGGCCACATGCCACACCGGTGATGATGCGGTGATTCATTTTGCAAATGATAGCTGTTCCAAGCTTGGGTTCTCCGGTGCAGAACTCGATGGATCTCCAGGATTGCCACTGGTTGCCAAGTTGGACGGAAGAAGTGCGACTACCACGCTACTTGTCTGGTTCCCCAAACCGCCAGCACTACGCTTGGTCATTGGTCCAGATACGGTTGAGAATTCGCCACCAAATATGGGACTTGAAAAAATGACACCTATCCGTCTGAAACGCTTGGCGACTGAAATAGCCTCATCTCAGTGAGTTTATTTTTTCCACTGCTTTGCTTCTTCATTAATTCGGCTCCTGTCAATGAGAATGCATTTTGGCTTTGTCTTGGGTATGAAAGCGGAAATATTCTACCACGACTAGAGGCTGTAGTTGCATATTCAACTGTTTAATTTTTCCTATAAGCTCAGAAATGTGTCTTGCTTTACCGCCTCCATAATTTCACAACACACCAAATAAGCAATTATTTTGCCCAGTTTTCTGACCTGCCAAGACGTCATCTATTTTTAATTCAACGATCATATTCACGGTGAAACTGATGGTGCTTTAGACTCTATGGACTCCCTCGCTGCTATTAGCTTATTGATATCCTTTTGCGTAACAAACCACCTTGAGGTTCCGCCTTGAGTTTCTTTCCTTCGAATATAGTAGTATGGGACGATACGTGATACGATACACGGACAGCTCACTAACAGCTTGGCCCCGTCTGGTACTGATCAGGCAGGCGGATCACCCGTAAGCTGGGAAACTGAGGATTTTGTATTGTTTTACACACTGAAGTGAGCATTATCAAATAGTGCTCCCCAGCGAGTTGTTGCGCATTGCCCTTGTCACTCTTGAAGAGCAAGCTGGGACTGTGGAAATTATAAAGACAGTAGTCAACCGGACTTACGACTCTATGGTTTTGTGCGATACTTGCATGTAGTAAAGTTCCGTGCAGCCATCTGGACAATCTGGCCGTGGCCGTCCAGAAGGCGGTCATCTCAATGATGCGAAACGACAGCGGGGTAATTCTGAGTCAATTACAGAGAAGTGTAGAAGTTTTACAATTCAGTGGTTTCAGAATCCATTGACTGTCACAAAGGTTAGGACAGGTTCAAGAAAACAAGGTACAACCAGAGCTTTCCACATAAAAGTACAGGAACAAAGCTTCAGGGAAAGAAACAAACAAATGTTTTGTAACCTACTGTCTTCCAACCACTGATGGGGTACGACGATGATAACATTCGTGTTTAAGAATGAAGTACTAGAACACTTTCGTTTACTGTTTTGTCTAAGATGAAGAATTCGCCATTGCCTGTCAAGGTTTGTTTTCCTACCTGAAGTTAAAATGGGTCTGAAATCACTTGGAAGAGACTCGTTGATGTGCACCATACGTAGAGGTAATGATTTGTGCCAACAAAAATGGCGCAACTGGAACCTGTTTTTCCAATTTTTGTGTGGTGGTAAGATGTTCGTCAACGAGTTCATGTGTAAATTGATCCTTGGGGGTTTGCTTACCAGCACGGCCTTTCCCGTTTAACGACGCACAAGACAGCTGTGGCATTTGGAGCGGCAGAAATAATCGGAGTGCTTGATGATCAAAGGTGTGCAACATCAGCTGGAAATACGATAATTAATCCGAAAAGTACATTTTTCGGTGTGGAAATTCGACTATCAACTATGTCTTCAAACTTTCATCATGTACTTTCAAATCAGAGATTCTCTTAGACAAAATCGCGGTGAAAATCAGCAGAGAGTGTCTTGAAGTGAAGTAGAATTTAAAGGCTCCAATATAAAAAGACTGAAAATTTCTCATTTTTAGAACTAAGTTGGAATGAACTAAAGGTTAAATTTCAACGTATTAGTCAAAAGGGATCATGCTGTCACTCTTAACACGATGGATATTTTAGGCTTTCATATGTGAAGCAGTGCAAGCCAAATTCGGCTGTCTTCTCGCTCGAATGTAAACAAGACAGGAAGTGGCAAACTCAGAATAGCATATCAGGGACACCAGGTGATATCACAACATTTTGTACAGCGTAATACAAGAGGGGCCACTCCAATGAGAATACTATTTCCACTCGACCCTTTTTTAGTCGTTGTGTCCCTGCCAGGTGAGAGACTGAAGAGAGAGACCACGGAGAGACACTTCTATGGAGTGACCATGTTTTGTTAGGCATTCTGGACGTCTGCTACATTGAAGGACAACCTTACAATGGTGCAGGTAGATTACTTCTCTGAGTATTCCACTAGTGCAGGGGCTGAACTCTTTTTGGAGCGTCAAAAATTATGGCTCTGGTAATCAAAATCATTTTAGTCAAATTATCCGATTCGTCTGTACATCTGACACAAGCTGATTAAAACAGCGGCGCTAGTTCAACGAATCCAAGTATACTGGATCTGTCTGTCCCCGGTGAGCCGCTTCCGACCTGATAGAATCGTAAAGGTACACCAACCGAGAGGCAGTTCATTTACATCTAGACTCCCAGTTTGCATCACAAATAAAAGCTTCGTTTAGGCTGCCACGCTGAAAGTTTTCGATTAGCTCTCATGAAGGAAACTACTCACAAGGTTGCTGAAAACCCTTCGACAGCCCAGGACCGGTTTCGCCCTTCTTCGGGCTCACTAGGTGGGCGAGGCCCCCAAGTTTCCGTCAACTTTATGTTTTACTTGCATCCAAATTGGACTGATCGCAGATAAGCTTGTATGCAAAGGTATTAAGCAGGTAAACCAGAAGCAGATGATACCGTAATGCCAGAAGATAGTATTGGAAGAAAGTTCAAAACAGAAAAAAGTACTTTTTTTCCCAGTCAGGCGTTGGTGTTGTGGAGTAACCGCTGTTGAATATTAGTGGAAGCAATGTCAAATGAACAGCATAGAAAGTAGACCATGCAATACTTGGCAAACCTGGTTCCCGCTACGGTGCAATTAATGGCCAACTATTCTTATCGGTATTTTACCGTAAGAATTTAGTACTACGTAGTCATACAATTAACATTTATGGACATACGTCTTGGACTTAGTTTAAGTCGAGTAAACTAAGTCGAGTAAGCTAAATATGCACACAAGAAGAACTGACAACGGTTGCAAATTTGGTAGAGAGTGAGGGTCATTGCGGACCATCCTAAGTGGTACCGTGATGAGATAACACTGCAAGACGCGCTTGGAGGTGGGTTGGATGGATTGGGAAGGCCAAAGATGGGGTGACATTTTTGCTGTGTGTAGCAATTTCTGTAAAGTTTGTTCCACACCTTGGTTTTTGAATAATCTTTTGCAGTAGACTGTAAACTTGTTAGCTCAGCTACTGATCTTCTGCGACTCAATGCTCACATCCTTATTCATTCAATTTACCAGGAACTCTCCTCCCATATGCTGGTCACGTCCAAAATAATTCGAAATCCATTGTTGTATTTATTTTGGGTGCTTTCCATGAAACACTAGTAAACTAGGACAGGAAGCAAACGGTAAATACCACTATGTACGGAGCCGATCTACCATCTATAAAAAAACGGCGGACCCTTTAGCGTGTCAGCTTTGACACCCGCAAATGTTCTTCCATCACTTGTTTTTCTGGTGCACGTATGTCGATTCGATCATTTTAAACGACACATCCTTGCTGTGTCGCACTGACAACTGTCCGCGAAGTATCCCGAGAGCACTCATTTTATTGTAACTATAATATTTTGAAAAAAATGAGGTAGTAAGAAGTGTCAAATTAAAGTCCAATTCGACATGAATTGTCGCTGTTTGGAGAATAGTGTATCGAATAATTAAAAAAAAGGTTCCGAAGAGTCCGTTTTCAGGTTTTTTTAAGTTTTCAGAAAGGCAAGGAAGAAACGTTGAGACGACTGAAAATGATTTGTTGTTTTACTGCGCTCTCAAAATAATTACTAAGAATAGCTTTCAACACGTTTGTTGTACGAATACCCTGATAAAAAATTTGCCCTTCCAAGATAAATTCATCTCCTGTTACTGAGTCCTGGTCAGGACCACCTAACATAAATTTCAATACATACGCAAGGCGGATAGAATAAGACGAAATGGAAATCAGAAGACCCAAACGGTTTCTACAGTCAGCCGTCATTTTGTATTTTTTCATCGCTGATTTAGTTTGTTTTTTGGAGCACTTTCTGGCATATCATAAACCTTGAACAACCCCTTTTCTCATAAAACAGCGGATTGGGTTCAGGTCGTATCATAAGTTTCACTAGTGCGCTGAGTTCCATTCACTCAAATGCCATCCATCGTATGATAGTAAGCGACCGATGATCACTGGAAGAATTAACAACCATCATTCTTGTTTCTCCATTCTCAGTCTCCCATAATGTTACTAACCCACCCGTTGGCAACGCTTGCGCCAGGTAAACTGTACAGTGGATGAATCGGGCTAACAATAATCAGGGTGCACAAAAACAGTACCAAGTGCGCATTGTACATCACACACAAATGCACACACTGCTTGATCTCGGTGCATTATCGCAGGTGAACATCCTTCCGTCCACACAAACTAAATGCCATCAGGTCAGATAAAGGCGAGGCACTTGCTACAGCTTTGTCACAGGTAACCTGTAGTTAGGGTGCCCGCTTGCCTAAGGTTCGTGTGTGTGCAAAGCTTGGTAAAAATGTACGAAGAAACTACATTCATGCTACACCTAACGCTTCATCAGATTTTTCCACATCTGATAATGTAATACAAAAAAAGAGATCGAAGTTTGAAAAAAGCGAAAGTGATGCTTCCAAATGCTTGCGCTTTTAGATACTAGAATGCTGTTTTGAAAAAAAAATAAAATTTTTTTGCAATCTTAGCAGACAGCGTATCAAAATTTCTACTTCCCTTAGGTCCTTGGTTCCTTCCTGATATGGTGCGACTGATAAAATGAATGCCACTTTGAGTGATAGATGATTAAGTTACTGAAACCAAATGATAGTGTTCCGCGGCAAAAAATTTCGAGCCATACTGGTGTTCGTAAGGAAGCAACACAACACAAATGGCCGATTTTCCCGTTCTTATTGATCCGATCCATCAGGATCTTGAATTTTGGAATGTGTCAATACGTTTAACAAGGGCACACCTCAATCAACTTACAACGGAATGTTACCAATTTGCCTCTCAAGATACTTTAAAGTCGTTTAATGAGTTATTTACCCATGGAAAACACAACAGCATCAGGTTAGTCTAACTAGCCTAAAGAGCAGACAACGGTCTTAATAAATGAAGGAGAGAAACAAAGGACAGACGGATATCCACTAATACCTTAGCTACGCAAGTGGTCCGTACGATGAAGTGCGCAGAGGGATATGTGATTTTTCGCTGCCTGTTTGAATAGTTGAACGAACAATCTGTACTTTTATTTGTCCATCTCTGTAACGTCAAAAAAGTAAACAACCTCAGGACCAACTCAAAACACCATGTTTCAATCACAAATATTAGTGCAACGTGAAAGGCCCTGGTAAACTGATCCCATTCCCGAAGGAATGCGGCCTTTTTAATATAGCAATGGATAAAAAAAGGCATGAAGAGACTAAGTGACGGGCAATTTCCAGGGACAACCTTTTGTATTACCGAGCTCTTTAAAAAAGAAATGCAGTTCCAAGATCACTAATGATATCGAGCACTTCAATTGCAGGACGGGAGGGAAATAGATTTGAGGAATCGTATTTGTCATCGAATCGTCCCTCAAATGGCACTCTGGTCAAGTTACAGTTGTGAGCAAAACATTATTGGTGTTCTGGTGATGGAAAACTTTATAATGGTTTTTAGTATTTAGAAAAGGTGCATGCAAAAACCAGGCAGTTTGTACTCCGAATTCTTAAGCGTCATGCATCAGCCGAAAAGTAGCCCATCTGGTTTCCGCTGTTGCCTAACCTTGTATCCATATTATTCCGCCGTGCTTCGGGCACGCCTCCAAAGGAGCATTTATTTCTTAACTGTGTTCTGAGCATACTTGAACAAATGATTATGAACATATGCAAACCCGTGGATGCCTCTGGTTCAGTTTTAGTAGAGTGGAAAAGCAGAACTCGGGCAAATATTTTTGGAGATTAGTTAGTTTTCAATTCAATAATGAAAGCATCTAATCCACTCATCTTGTTCCTGCTCATAAATTTAGCCACAGTCAGTCTTGTTTATAAATTACATTGTCTGGTTTTTCTTTGCTTCGGATCGATGGACATAGCGATTTCTAGCCCACTGTGAGAACTCTAACAACACAACTAGATTGGGCTATATTGACAACCAATCCAAACACCCGCACGCACGTACCTAGTTATGTTGTACGTAACACATATACGGACTTTTCTATCCTATCCGTGCTACGGCGCAAGCTTGCAGACGTCTGGTCTGGTGCTGATCATTATGGCGCTTCTAACGAGATGTCTTTCTGGATTCATTTGTGAAAGCGACATAATAGTTCGTTTGGCATATTCTTTACGGTGTAATATTGGTATTGAGTCCTTAATAGAACTGATAATAATTTTTACTGACAGCTATTTTTATGCCGATAAGAAGAGTGTTGAGAACATTGTAGGAAGATGGAAATGCAGGGAAAGATGAAGCGCTTAACGTTTCTCGAACTATCCATTAAAACCGCGCGTGACTGCGTTAAGTTAGGGGTCCGAAGATCTTAACGTACGGGAACGCGAGTTTGCACAGCCAACTAGCTGTTGTTGTTTCGGTAAAAGGGACATGTAATATGATTTTGGTTTCTTGGTTCAGTTTCTGCGTGAACTGTTCGGAGAATGTCCTGGTAAGGTTATACTATGCCTCACCGCTAATTCAGGTTGACTGTGAGAATGGTGAATTAGTGGGTTAGTTTCCTTTTGTTGCTTTATTCTTCTCGAAAAATAGATATTAGAATCATGTGGCAGTGATCCAGTGGTGCTCAACAATAGTATTCCTGTAACCGGAAACGGAAAGCAAGCGAGTAGATTTACTTTCAGTTAAAGTTTAAATGTAGAGTACAAGGTTTTCCCTTCAGAAACGTTATTAAATGAGGATCCTCGCTTCGAATTCTACAGATGCGCTTCCAGCAACTGCACTTTTGCACAACTTCTGTGAGAAGAGGATTCTTCAAAGATTAACTCTGTTTGTAGCTTTCTTTTTGGTATATTAATCCATCAGGCCACCTCACCCAGCCAACAAAGGCGCTCTCAAAAACTGCGAATTGACCAGCATTGGTAGTTGAATGACATGCCACGAAATAAACTATGTATAAAAATCATAGCGGATAGTCGTTCAAAATATTTCAAGCATAAACACATTTGTTTCCAACAAAATATGTTTGATTCATGTCGCTCGTAAATTTACTTTCAAAGTCAACATTGAACCAAAGAAATGAACAGCTGTCACTTTAGCTTTTTCATTTCTTGAAGTAGTTGATGGATAGTCACGTGAAAAATACTTGAAACCAATTGGGTAGTCATCGTTTTCGGAAAATTTTGGTGACACAAGGTATTTGATGGATAGCTCTATTTCCAGCCTTGTTTTGCGTTTTTTATTGCATGGTTTGGGTTGAAAGTCTCTAGAAAATGGTCGTTTGGATGTCCGATTCGTTTTGGATATAAGTGGATGGCGTCATCACCGACATACCTACAGAAAGAACACAATGGCATTTTTTGAGTGCGGAGTTTGGTCTGATCATCTTCTTGGGAGCGCTAGATACGTCCGTCAAGGTCGTTTAAGTTTGTACCGGTGAAAGAAAGGCCTTTGCGGTGGAGTTAGTTATTAGAAAATCCAACTGGAAAATTACAGACTATTTGACAAGAAAGCAAGACTCTCAAATGCATCTTGTTTGTAAAAACTGAACATCCGTCTTCTTCTTGAATGCGACTTCCTAAACTTTCCTAGATATTCGTTGACTATCACTCAAATGTAAACGAATGTTGCGAAACAATTCCACAAATTCCGTAATAAATCCTACTTTCCAATAGTTGCATATGAGTTACTCGCATGCCTCATCAGTAGTATCCACCGTTACACAAGTACTCGTTACCATTTTATTACAAGCTAAAGAACGCCATAGTGTTAGACAAGTGAATTGTATATATCTCGTCTTTACAGTCCATTGTTCAGTGTTTCACCTGAGTAAGAACTCTGTGCTCATTTCACGTACCGTGTTGCCCTTCCGGACGCAGTTTACGGTACCAAACTTTGAAAAACAATACTGTTTTTTCACTGAAATTTCTTACTTTGTGTAACCTGGTCCACTTTAAAAAGCCAAGGCTTATCTTACTGCTGTTTCACCCTCCTTGAGGATCGTCGGCTATAACTGTTCACGGATTATTCAGTAGATTCAAGTCTTCCGGTCTTTACCTCATAACGGCCATCGTCATCCCTTCACAACCACTCAGCTTCTATCACGTAATCTAGTGTGTTATCCCTACTCAAGCAATCACAGGTTCGAGGATAGGCTTGTGTGCTTTGCACTCTAGACCTATTCGAGATGCACATCGCTGGTGATTCACAGCAGTAGTACTCGGCCGTTTACAATAGGCCAAACCAATTTTAAGTGAAAATCTCAAATCTCCTTATCACTCATATATAGCGAAACGGTAACTTGCGATCGAACTGACAAGATCAGTGGATTTCATGCTTGAAACTGCATTCTTTCTGATTATCCAGTTTTTTGCATGCCATTCGTCTTCATCAGGATGCCCTTTGTATTCCCGCGGGAAACGTAGTGTCACAGCCTCAATTTGGCCGCACCATTTAACTCATTCCATCTCACTAGCGAATACGACGTTTCTCATGCGATATCTCCCAAATTGGTGGAATAAAAACATTGGAGATTTAAGCCATGTGTTATTAAAATTTAACATCAACCAAAACTTTCAACGCACCTGTTTGAGTGACCAATCTATCACAATTCTTCCACGACAAAATTGACGTGGAAAAATATTAGGAAAGTTATATCAGGAATGTTATTAGGAATGTTAGGGAACAAGATTAAGTTTTTGCACTTTGTTGTTCCTTTAAGATCCGGCTTGAGGCTCGGTACACACCGAAACAAATCAGTGCATGTTCCGGCCAATTGTAAGCTGTTTTGTAAACATGAACTTTCACTGCACCATCATGTTCATCGGCCTTCTAAGCGTCAGTGGATTTGCGCACTTACAGCATTTGTTTGACCAATTAGCCTTTCAGCATTCGAATCTGACTTCTTGCTTTCCGTACCCGAACACGCAGCTCAGCAATGGATTACGGGCGCAGCTGGAATGCCGCACAACACCAACAACAGTTACTGCACAGTCCCGCGAACCGTACTTCTGAAACCTTTTTTCAACATCTGCCGATCCGCGTGTTGGCAAGGTAAGCCGAATTCATGCCGAGAATTAAGTGAACACTCGTACGGCAAAAGGGGTTCCAACATGTGTTTGTGCAGGCTTAGCTTTACTTTGTAACAAGGCCTTTCCTGTTTCAATAAAAAGTGAAGCTAAGCAGCGGCGACGTCGAAGCGATACCACTCATTGGTCGATTTCCGAATCTTGCCGAATCGCGATGTTTTTGGAAATGAAACAAGTGATATTTCTCTAATCATGTTTTCACGGAAGGAGGTATCTTAAATATGAATCAATACAAAGGTGATATGTATGATATTTCCACTGAAATTTAACCAGTACAACGGTATTATTTTTTGCTGCGTTTCTGTTGTGCATTGGATGATTTTAACGCCAATGCAAGTTTGGGGCTGCTGTGTACGAAAAGCTTCAGAATCAAATGAGTATGTGGTCCTATTTGTCTGATAATCATTTCAGCTACTCGGTGTATGCTGTGAACCTTCAAGACAGAGAACTGATAATAATCTTTGACCCACTATTTGACGCAGTTTTTGAGATACACGTGATTTCATACGGGCTTTTTTGAAGTCGGTTGGATGGAATCTATCATACGGAACAATTTTTGCAAGACTTCTACAATGTCACTTAAATGGCCCACTACTATCATCGCGTGGCCGAAATTTGTGAAGCTGGGTTTAATGGACGATATACCCGATTATGACTATACCCACTCACGCCAACATTATGTGCACTGAGATAAGTAAGGATAAGGCTACGTCTGCTATTCATAGTCAAATGTGTAAGTAGGTAGAAGTCAATGTGCGCAAACACAACAAAACCGCATTTATCTGCACATCTACACTAGGGTTACAGTGGTAGCTACGTTTGACTGCTGCGCATCCAAAACCATCATAAGACAAAGATTTCCATTTGTCTTAGTCAGCAAAAGTGGATGCGGATTTCATTGCACGCTCTGCTGGACGTCCTGCTTTGAGATGTATTCAGACTCCAATTAATCATCATAATCATAGTAAGCTGCAATGAGACCGATCGATTGTAGTGCCCCAAGTGTACAAGTGGCAAGCTAATAGGGAACTTTCAGTGATTTCAGGACGCTAAGCACACGTAAACGTTCATAATAATGGTAAAGGGCCGATATTTCTATCAATTAAACACTTTGTTTCATGCAGTCTTCTCTTGTTGCCCATTCACCTTTATCTGACATACACAACAGAGTAATTTTGCATGAATTTCAGTTTGTCAAGTATCACTAATCACCTCAATCATTTGGGTGGTAACGGGGTTCGGACTAGCGTCCGACGGACAGAAAAGTCATTTTTCCGGGATATTATTGAAATTTCTATCAAAACTCACCCAAGCACGAACTATGAATTTGATTTGACACTGATGGTACATTCTAGGGGGAAATAACAAAGAATTGGCTTGAGTTTCCGATCTCTACGTCTGATAGAAGCAAATCGGTGTAATTAACAGCTTAATTTCAGTTATCCCTGTTGAACCCGTAATGAATGCTCGCAGTACAAGCAAACGTATGAAACTATCATCAGTGCCCAAATGCATGTAATTCCGGTAAGCTTTTTTCAGCCTTCAAAACCTGACTTCTAATGCCCAAGTGGAATAACGTAACATGTGTTTCTCTAATTCTATGAGGAACAGTCACTGAAGACCAAATGTATGTTGGTCTGACTGATTTATTAGAAAGATGAGTACCTAAGGTTACTTTTTCTTCGAACGATATCAGTATTTCACTAACGTTCGAGGTCCTGAGATTTAAGTTTTAAAAACCTGATTAACATGGATTGTTTTTAGGCCATATTTTAGCCACATTTAGCCTTGAAAATACCAAAAATTCCGTTTGCCGAGCTTTGGCAACTGTTCATGTTCTTGTAAAGGTTCCATTGTAAAAACTGAAGCACCGTTCCTTGAGCAACGGAAATCAAGCACTTATGATCGCGTAGGTTATTTTGCCTGTGCACTACAAGCTGAATATAAAGAACAGACACCGATAAAGGGAGTTGTAGTCCGTAATCAATATCGTGTCCCTTCAGGTCGCAGCCGGGTCTCAACACTGATCAGAATTAAAGAATTTTACGTATTACGGTTGCGTGTTTTCTGACAGCGTGAGCAGAATGGGTCACTCAACGTGAATGTTGTTCAGCCATTCACTGTCTCGGTGAGGGTGGTCAATAAAGTTACCTGTAGCGTCACTAGAAAGCTTTGTTTCCACTAGGTTTAGTAGGTATTCTGACGAGTGCCTTTGAGAAGAACTTGTAAATCTTAAACTGCTGTCCGAAAGAGATCTTCACTACCGCGGCAGCGTGGGCTTTAGTCACCTGTGCATTTGTGCAACAGGTTTAACTTCTATATTCCTTATCGTAAGCGCTATTTCCGAAACTGGCTTCCATCACCTAAAGCAGGTTAAATCTCTTACAACGAGAGACTTGGTAACCTATGGTGATCTATTTAATAGGTTTAGGGCATACATTTGTAAGAAAAGACAGTTTGATTCAAACAGCTGTAACAACACGGTAACTAGTGAAAGATCGCAAGTGCGATTCCATCCCAGGGTGATAACGTTTAGACGGTGCTAGACATCTTGAGGAACATTTATCAGTTACTCCTTTCATCAGCAAATTATTTGCCTCTGCCTTCTGGCAAAATACCGCAGAGATATATTCGTTGACAACTTAGCTAGGTTGCTCTCCAATGGTACCTCTCCGTAACTCTGTACATAAACCAGTTTTCAGATAAATCACATCAAACCCATACGATTAGTCGCTCAATCGCATGCCTTAACTCTGAAACCAGCTTAATTAAATTTTGAACGGAAAAACCACGTTTGCTTTTACGGAAGGATTTGTAACCTTCTGTGAGACCAACGATAGCGATAGCTGGACATAAGTGTCCTAGATGTTTGTAATCACTAGATGTGCAATGCACCTGTCACCATACAGGACTGCCGTTGGCATCATTGATGGACATGACTTTTCCATCAGCACGAGCGTTGTTCTCGGTAGAATGATTATCCGTATCATAACCAGCACAGTGCCCATTGCGTAGACACGTTTATTGCGTTATACACCCGGGACGTCGTAAATGACAGCTGCACGCTCTCTCTGTCGCTCTCTCGCACGATTGCATTAACGCAAATTCACCCTATCGTTGAGCGGGAAAGGAACGGACGCGCTGCAATGAGGGAGTGAGATGAAGCTGCATTGCTATCGATTGACCAAATGGGTGACCAATAATATCCTGGTTGCTAAAGTGAGATCGATCAGTAACAATGAACCTCACCTCGATTCCAATGAGCGTAGAAGGGGATACAGTGCTGTATGTGTGAGTCTTAATGGGTAGCTGTGTCACTGTTCTATCGGACTGAGTCCGTCCACTGGCACGCTGAGTGCGACTCAGCGCTCGAATAATATAAAGCAGCTCAGATGGCAGAATAATAGCTTATTAGGTAACCACCGTAAATCAGTATGAGCACAAGTAGGATCTTTTGATCATTATGGTTGAGAAATGCATTTCTACTGTGACTGTAACTTCCTCAACATTATCGTATTAACAATCTTCACTATTCCTGATTAACTTGGTCGCAATGTTTTCAACTCAGGCAGTCTGTAGATTCAACCACTTGGTAAGCTTTTTTATGAGAACTCGTGGATTAGAGATAATGAGAATGTTGGCCAAATCTTTTTAGTATCCAGAGTGTAATCTGCAAAAATCCCTCTTTCGCAAAGAATAAGATTAATTCTGTGCGTTTTTGAAATCGTGAACAAAGTTATGGGAGACTGGTTCCTCCCAAGGATTATTAAGAAAACCTTATCAAGGACGATGAATCAGACACACATTAGTATATTTCTGTGTGGTTTCTGGAAGAAGTTACTGCTCTTAGTTGTAGTAGTTTTCTCCTCTAACTGCACATCATGTCATGAATTCAGATGGTCTGGTTACATATTAGACTATCTTCCATTTAGTTCCACTGGGATTCTTGTTTTAGAGGCCAGCCGTTGCGTTGAGTAGCTAACTGTTGAAATTTCATGTGCGAACAATCGAAGGAAATTTGCGATTAGTTTGATGTTATCACTCAGGTACTGCTCAAAGTTGAACACTATTTAAAACTGCTGAGTAAATATTGCGGAACTCATCAAGTTGAATTTGTTTTTCTAATGTAGGTTCATTCTTGCTGGCTCCGTACTTTACGACAAGGACGTATTGGGGGGAAAAATTGATCAATATGTCGACGTTACCGAGTATACGGCACACAGACTGCGACTTGTTCACAATTCATCGGAAGATAATAGCACTTCTACTGCATCGGCAGAACTCGTGATGATTTACAGAAACGATCAACTCCAGGCTGCTGAACCAAAATCCTCAATGGAGTTGATGAATGGGCAACCAAACTTGCGAGATCCCTTACCAGGACCATCACACGTATGGTTGCTTGGAAAGCATCCCGGCCTGATACACCTCCGTTTGGAAACACTTGATGCTACAGTGTTGCGGGCGGCGATTCCTCCGGGTCTAGAGAAACAGCTTAAGGATCAACAGCAGAAGACGTCCGCAAATGCATCTGATCTTGAAAACCTTCTGAGGAGCTCTAAATCGACTGTTCAAATGGCAGTGGAGATAACCGAGGAAACTAGCGTGTGGCCGGTAGGCATGTCAGCCCAGTTCGTAACAGGTACGGAAACTATTCCCTCTGTTTTTCCTCTACATGAAGAAAGAGTTGGAACCAGCGCTAAGACTAAACGAAACTTAATGAAAAAGTTCAACAGGTTCATCTGTTAGGTGACACTAGTCAAGTGTGTTCAGAGAGGACGGTATACCACAAACTTCTCTGTCAGATTCGTTTATTTTTTGTCTAAACAGGCGAGTTGGTTGAAGGAACAGCGGTAGATTTGCACATATCGACACACCATAATGAAAATATGCCCACTTAATCAAAATGGGACAACTTTCAACAACACTGCGTGGTCAGATTCTTGAACAATCTCTACAGAGAGTCTAGTCTTGCACAAAGTCAACTTTATAAAAGAGTTCGGATCAGCTTATCAGACCAGTTTGTGTGTGTGCCAATAATCCTGCGCACATTGTTTTGTTGGCCCGATGAAGTTACACACATTTGTTCATCTGGAAGAAGTTTCTAACTCCCAAACTTTGTTTCTAATAGACGTGCGAGTCAAAATGAGACAAAGCTTTGATCCTGGTCTTCCCTGGGACGCGCATCAAACCAGCTTGTTCCGTGGTCATTCGAACCTTCAAACTAATGAGGAAATTCTTCCTTTAACTTCTGGTCTGTATGGTATCCAACTGGACCTAGTTGGTGGTCGCATGATGCACAGTGGTACAATCCACAAATCATTTGGCCATGAAACAAACTTGGACGGATCGGATCAACTACTCCATAACCACTTTCGGGGGAGTTCCCGGAGCTATCTGCTCAATGGATCGCGCGCAGACTTTCCACGTCCCAAGTCCTCTGACAGTTCCGGTCTAGTGGTTGTTTGGATTCATTTATCGGATGGTTCCATCATTCTCTGGCATCGTATGATTGAGGTAAACTGATTAGAGCTGGTGTAAGACTGTTTCTATCTTCATGTCGCGGTCTACCAGCATAGGAATCCTTCAACCTTAATCACTTCCCCTATCACCATAATGCATATAGGTTTCGCGCGTTTGTGGCTCACGATTAATTATGTGGTAACAGCCATATGAACCTACGTTTTCTGTCTATTAAACAATAGTCATATGATACCTCACCATTCGTATATGATCAATATTAACTTCATCAGCCCAGCCATTATTCCTGCATCGTCAATGTGGCCATCAAAATGAGCGAATAGAAAGTTCCCCATTATGCCACCTAGGTTTCGCAGTCAAAAAATTCAAACCTATCTGCAATAAATTCTTATTTGTAAGTTCTTTGGATCTGGGTGAAAAACCCATCTTAATTTCACCTGAATTTATCGTCCACGATATTCTAAGCTAAACATGTCGCCCAAAAACCGCTTTGTGTTTCGGCTGGATCGCAGTGCGTTTCAGTACTACTACTTCCTGGGTCGATGAAAACTCCACAAATTCCACTAATGGATTCATCCTTTCTGAGGCTGAACAGGTGGATGTAATCCATAAACCCTCATAATCCCGACTTTCTACTTGAACATCACAGTGCGCTTGTGTTTGCATAAAGACTAATTTGCAAGTAACTTGATTTTTAGTGTGATGTCAGGAGATCTGTTAAATTTTGTCATGTTAGTGAAGCCAAACTTCGAAACTCAGACAGTCTCAAACCCGTGACGTTTCCATAACCGGCTGATCAGTATCGTACGCAGGGTATGGTACCACTTCTCCTTCAGTCGCTGAAACCATGTCATATAAGCACGAATTGACTTGCTCCCTGAGTGACAACTTCTCGGGTGGGAGCTGGACTCATTTTAAGCCACGTGCATAATGGTGGTGGTGTTAGCGGACTTGGTGATTTTCAGTGGCGATTTATTACTTTCAGTGATTTTTATTATATTGGAAGACTCAGCTGAAGTAGATGGAATTCAATCGTACCCTTCGTCAAGTTAATTCCCTGAGTGTTCATCATCTCAGCATACGTATATCTGATGCAGAATTTAAAACTAGAACTGGACGGATTCGTGGACCTGGACTAGCAAATGAACTCCTAGCAAAGCGAGACCAGCAGTACGACATACAGTTGTCACGGGCCTTATGAGTAGTATGTGAGCCCACTTCGCTTTGTTGCAAATCAGCGCATACCATATTTGCGCGCGTTTGTGGTTTCAACGGAAACCGTATGGTTTATTACTCCACGTACTGAAGCTCAACTCAAGTTTCCGCTTCCTGAAACAACCACTGATAAAACAGAAGTTCTGTCCATTTTTACACCAGCACGTGAAGCAACATCACTCCTTTTTCATTTTGATGCCAGAGGCAGTATGCAAATTCATTTACACTGAACAGGCGAATGCAGTTTGTTGAAAGGAACAACCTGAATCTAGCTATAACCTGCGCAGCCAAGTGTTGAAAAAAGTAGTTCCTGGAGGACTGGTTGCATGCAAGAGGTGGCACTTGACAAAATATCAGTTTGTTGTGTCTCACGACAGATAGTAGGATAGAATAGGTATTGCTCACCAGACCAATCAAAATAGTCTTCTATTATGACGACTTATTCTAAACCAGTTCGACTTGAAATATAATTCCATAGAAAAAAATGATTCTTCACACTCGAAATGCTCACTTGTCATTTATTTTTCCATAGGTGTGAAAATTCAAGACCAAATTTCCTGCTCCCTGCAACTTTAATTCAATTATTCTCGGCCTGTATGCAGCTGTGTTACTGAGCTCGCCTTGATTCCTTTATTACTCAGTAACGCTCATTTCTATAGCATTTTTGCTTATCCGACTTGGTTCTTCATAAAATACTTCACTCTACAACATAAAATTAGCCGTAGCTGGGTGCACGAAGGCTCCCGTTCATACGGTTTGCTCATTAGCTGGTGTCTTCTCCAACCAGGAATCACGACTTACGTGAGTATGACATGCAACCCAGTGGTTACTTGAGCAATATGGTTTCTTCTATTGGATTTATTGATCTTAAAATCGATATAATACGGAAATCATTTGTGTAGACACAGTGGGGATATACTTTAACAAATCTTTGGTCTGATACAAAGAACTGACACGTTTCTAACTGAAAGAGGTTCCTTGTTTTAGTCTAGTCGTGCCTGGTATGAAAGAGATGGTGGTTACTGAACACTCACCTATTTGGCGTAACGTACGCTGGAGAAACAGATGATGTGCGCGGAAAATTATTTGCCTTTTTTGTCGTGACAAATATTTCAAACCAACCCTACAAGGTGTGACCGAAGTTTCTGCGTGAATCCTTTCCTGCCTGAGAGGAAAGGAATGCATGTTAAACAAGTTCAAGGTAAGGCTTAAACAGTTGTAGTTGACACTGACAAATGATTTTAAAGGATGCTAGAGGCTTGCGGTTTGGTAAATTAGCCAGATATAAGGGCAGCTTGGAAAGTAGAATGTGCTTCACCGAATCGGTGGCTAAGGTATGCCGGTGGGATGTTCCTGATCCTGTCGATCTGGTTCCCCGATATGTATTTTGTCCCTCAACCCACCAGTGTTACACATTAATTTCCGATGTCACACTCCAACACAGAACAAGAGGAGAATGGAAAAACTGGAGGAATAAGCAGGACTAATTCCAGTTGTCCCCTCTGTTGTACGTAGACTGATGCCATCAAGTGACTATCGATCTTGCATGAAATGATTCTTAGTAATGTAATTCCCGTGCGTATAATAGCTGTCAAATTGCGAGGATGCCCAAGAAAATATCCCTAAGCAAAACGTCAGCCAGAATGCATTATCATCATTACAATTGTGCAAAACACCAGTGTCGAGACACTTGTACTTGACCTCAGTGTAGCAGTAGTTGCCGTTTTATTACAAGTTCAGGCTGTATGAAACAACTCGTATCGAAAACTGCTTCCCAAAACCCTCGTTTCCAAAATAGGGTTATGGACGTAAGACTTTTCCCGTTCAGATCTCAGGAAGGCTCTCTTTATAACGTAATACTTCACTACTGGATCACCGGACTTATGATTTTATAGGTGACTCATTAAAATTCACTTCATAAGTCAAGGTGTCCAACTTTGTCACACTTTATCGCCTTTCGAGCTTCTTCTCCACATTCGACCCATGTATACCTTTTCGACGTGATTTCAGGCAGGAATTCCCTTTAAAATATTTTCCACATTAATTTGCCACTGACAACCACATAAACTTACTCTTCAGCTACCAAAGCTGCTATCCAGTCGTACCATTGTATAGTTTTCTTAAGATCGAATCCGGTGAGACTATTTCAGTTGATTTAACTAGGTGGTGCAACCGTTGTTGTGGCAACATCCCGTCTTTTGGAACCGGAACAAGGAAAAACGTGTAGTTCTTCCAACTAAGTGAACTTTTTTCGAAAAATATCAAGTTATCATAGCGCGTTTTCTCTGTGAACACCGGCCAGAAACCGAAAAGACGGACTGACAATGTGACCACAAGATTTCACCACTACAGGCATCACGTAGTTAAGGTAGAAGTCGCCCTGTATGATGTCCTTGAACGGCATAAGGGGACTGCCAACCCATGTGACCAAACGTGCTTGTTTGATAGATTCAGTCTAAGACAGTAAGCAATACGGAAAAGACCGAATTAATCCATGATATCTTCCGCAGTTTTACAAAATAACCTCTAAATACAGCTTTTGCTCAGTCCAAATTCATTATACAAGATTTTCGCGTAAATTTTCATATTTCTGAAACCTCTACAAAATTTTGTTCTGTACGAATAGCACGGGTTTTCGTCATAACCATGCCTATCATCGTCGTCGTCATCAGGGCCTTACCAAAGTTAGCGACAACAGGTTTTAGCTACCGCTGTTTCACTGCCACTTCAAAATGATATTGCTAACGTTTGTTTGGCTTTCCAATAATTGGTTGTTAACGTCATTGACTTTTGTTTATTGCACTGTCTACTGTTTTTGTCCATCGGGTGATATGTTCACTTAAAGGCTACTCCAGTTCGCACTCAAACTCACAGCGTTTCGTTAGGGCAACCATTAGGTTTTTTGAAACAAGACTCAGTTTTCCACTCTGAGTTTCTCTTCAGAAGGGCAAAGAGGCTGAAGGTCAAATTCGTTTAACCTGATTAGCCTTTAATCTGTTTATTCCGAATTGACACCTATATTTCAGTTCAGCCTACATCGACTGTGGTAAGTTTCAGGTTAGTCATCCAAAAGGCCTCACTTTTACGGCCGGAGAAATAAAAGGCATTCATTTTTCAAATACGCCAGTTTAAACAACTGCGTACAGCCGTGGATAAAATAGGGCCTTTTAGATGGTCAATTCTGTTGAGATCGAGTAATTGAATTTCCCCTTCTATTATTTTCTGATGCGAAAAGTTTTCTTGTTCTAACAGAGCTTTGTAGAGTTCACCAGGTTCTCCTCGAATGTCGAACGTCTTGACGTCAAATGTAGGCCTCGCTCAGGTAGTGTTGTGACCGACCCCACTCACACCTTATTAACCGATGTTATCCTTCCTGCTCGGGGAATGTCGTTTATCCGGAGGAAATGTGGATGAGATCAGAAATGAAAGCAATGTTTAATCCGTGTTCTAGGAACCCGCGAAAATTTCCACCTTCTTTTCCTCTGCATTGATCATCTGTAACACGCCGACTTAAGGAATGCACAAAGTGTGTCCCACAGGCCTGTCTGATTCTACCAAACGCTTATCTATCTGGAATTTTCTAATCTGGATGTGACCGACGGACGAACTGGTTGTCGTGTTACTCATTAATCTCATGAATTAAAAACTCTCTAGTGAGTGTTTTTGTTTCAGTTTTCCTGGTCGCGCAACTTTTGATAGATGCGCGATAGCCCACCGATCGTCCAACGGATCTGCTATAAATTCGCTACCTTTGTGTGCGTATGCACATCCCCTGGAGTGATAGTAATTAGCGCCGGGTCCATTTCGCTTGTGCTGAGCCATGGATTATTAGACGGCGACTTGATAAAGCCCAACTTCTGCTCCAAACGAGTGATAGAATGGATTATTCTTTCTGACAAATTGCTGCGATGAAAAAATATTTGGCAATAAAATGTAAAAGAGGAATGATCGTAGTTTGTTTGTTTGGGATTAGAAAGATACATCTGGTGTGTGCCAGATACCTAGAACAAAATAGTTTTACGCAAGAAGATAAGGGATTTCCTACTTGATTTCTCATTTCAGTGTCAGTCTTCGTATTGAAAACAAAAAGTGCTGACAATGAATGGGTTCGTTTCAGAAGGAAAGGGTAATCGGAATGGGCTCGTCGCACATCAGAAGCTAGCACAAGTGAAATTTTCCGAAATTTTGGTGTGATGAAAATTGGTTGATCGATGCTTTATCGTTTCGGCTGTGTTCATTCATGTTTCCCTGTTGGATCTTTGGTTGCAACTTCTTGATCAGAATCGCTGGTTGTAAAGTAGTTCATTACTATTTGCAAATCAATTTGGTTTTCACGGGAGACTCAATTAAATCTCTCGTTTATGATGTCCTCCAGCTGAATGTGCTGCACACAGGCCGCCTCATGATTCAGTTGGCACGATATTCGAAATATCGCAGTATATTTTGATGAAGAAAACTACTAAAAAGTCTGCTGAAAACTCTTCGAGAGCCCACGAGAGATTCAATTGAGTCTCCCGTGAAATCCAAATTGATTTGCAAATGAGTGTATTTCTCGAAAAAAAGTGTAATTTGGGTTCAAGTAGATCATAAGGTTGACGGAAACTCGGGGACTGCGCCTACCTGACGAGCCCCAAAAAGGGCGAAACCAGTCGTGGGCTGTTGAAGAGTTTTCAGCAACCTTGTGAGTAGTTTAGTTCATTACTAGTTTGTCTGGATTTTAATTTACTTGACTGCGCCAAAAACGAACAAATTAATTATTTTCTGTTTGTTGGCTGCGACGGACCATAAACTATTGCTATGTAGGATACGGTGAATATGAATTTATAATAAGAATTCCTATTGTATACCTTCGTTTATCCCTACGTCCCCAGGTTAAATAGGGATTTTAAACGTTGTAACTTGAATTTAACTTCTTTCTACCCTTCAAAAGCTGTACCAAGCGATGAATAAGGACATGCCGTTCAGACTTTCCATCAATAATCTACATCCGGAGGTTTTCGAGGTGACCGGATCGTCCATTGTCCTTGTCGAACGGAAACGGCGGGGAAGAAGTGCATCTCTCGCAGCTTGGGATCGACGCCTGCGCAATCTGAACGAGAATCGTTTTTCTAGACCAACACCTCGCATAGCATACGGGCAGAAAATGTTGCGTTATTCATCACAGATGCGTTTTCAGTCTGATTCAACCCAACTGGATGACTCATCCCCACCGTCATTCGCTGACCACCTGATGTCTGATGAACACACTGGTGCCACATGGTCTGGTCCAACCGTTTGGATACGTCGTGATGGGCTGTCATTTACCGGTAATTGTCTGGCTAGTAAAACATAGAGAACACTTTCTCCTAATACTTTGTAGCGAATATTCTTGTAACATACTAGTCATATGTACACAAAAACGATATTTCGTCAGTCGTGATGCTTCAGGTTTTGTCCAGATTTTCCAACCAGCTTCGATGGCATATTTAAGATCAAGAACCTTGGTCTGAAGAAACGCGAATTTGCTATAAATATTTCATTAGTTTGTTGGCATGCTGGGTGTTGCTGTAAATCGCTGAGAATCACTGCTGGTGAAATTCGTGTTCTAGACCTGAATTACTGCTCTAAACCGAAAAATTATTTTGACAAGTGATGGACAATATGGGATGATCTGGTTCACTTCCACTGTGTTTAACTTCACTGGCGACAAACTTTTGACTGTCGCCTCATGTGGATTTACCTATCGACCGTATTCAGCCTACGTGTTAATCAAAGCTCGTCCGAGTCCAGAGTTACCGTGGCATAAGAAATCTTATTGTAATATTGTCCCGCATGAGTGAGCGTAGGATTGAGGACCCTCGAGAACAGTCTAGCGGCATCTTCTTTGTGAATCTTCCGAATCGTGAATCTTTCCCAACATATCTAATAAAGAAATAAAGATTACCCAGGCAAAAAACACTTACATAGGGCATTAGGACCGTAGTTCCATTACCGTGGTCCCCCTTAAAATGTCTGAAAATTTTCTTACTAATTCTCTTATGGCCCATTTAGATTGTGTAAGAAGCAGGTGCTGTCGTATCATACAGAAGGATGAGCGCAACTGAGCTCAACTGCGCACGTAAAAATATGCGCTGTACATCGGCACCAGCGGAAGAACTTCCTGTATTTTGTCTCACGTTTGCATAAACACAGAGAAAGCAACTTTCTTAACCGAGTATATCGTCCGCCCCTTGATCGACATGAAATTATCTTGTTTTATAATCCCATGAGTTTTCAACTAAAAATGTGGCTAGTGGCGCCCGTTCTCATGAAATGTGTTATGACACACGGTAGTAGACACTACTTTCTGAAAGCACTTAAATTCGCGTTACCCTAAAATGAAGGGGACATATCTTTGCTTCTATTAAAAATTAATTTCTAACACAGATTCTATTTCGAAATGAAAATTTCAAATGCATAGTAAGATCGAAACAGTACTTCAGACTTCCACTGTGCTGACAACGTTATCGAGAGCCCTTGTTTTTTGTCACATTTATTTCAGGAGTGTGTCTGAGCTCTGTAGCAATTTGAGAAACCTTCCTGATCTGCAAACGCTCTAAATTTCGAACCAGTATGCCAGATTGCCATTACAGTGGTTACTTCACAACTCAAAGGCCTATCGCCTGCCAGTTCTAGTTACTAACTCTGGTGGAGATTTTCATAGGGGTCGGTCAAATACCGCCATTTCGCCTCGTCGAAAACGGAATCCCGTATCTGTGATGATTTTTGCAACAGTCGGCGTTGAAAAAATCTAGTTTGCCATGATGGATTTGTTTAGTGGGTTTGTTGAATGAACTCCAATGATCCAAATGTATTCTCACATTGCTAAAAATTTACTGTTAATTACGAGGAAACGCGGTCAATATACCCCTTCGTATCAGACAATTCACTGATGTGATCTCCTCCTTTACGCTTGAAATAGTCACATCTCCATCAGAAAACCTCTACAGACTGCTTAGTTTTGTGTGCGATACTGTGCGTTGCAGGGAGGTGCAAATACTCACCAGCATATCCCTTGGTACTTTTCGTGTCATCGGTAGATGTGAATCGAACCGTGAAAATATTCTCACAGTGTGGTTAATTCTGTCAATGTGGACTATTCAAATCCTCGCCTTCGCTGATCCACTTTTTCCGGCAGCCAGAACATCAGCTGCGTGATGTTACGCTCTTCGGTTGCAATTGTGAAAAAATCTGCAGTTATGCATCAATGAAAGGCAACAATAGTTTAAATGCCACAGGACGAATTGTTGATGTGGTACTGATAATCCTAATTGAAGTCAGTGTAAGAAATTTGTGTGCATATTTTTGTTTCTCTCCATAGAAGGTCATTTCTTCCTAATCGTGATTGCGCAGCGCTGAAATAACTGATATTTGAAGTTCATTATTTTAGTGTCATCTGAACTTCAGTTATTGATATTTTGTTGGGTCTCTCTAGCTTATTAGCAAGAGGTCAATCAATGTGCCACACCCGAGCCTACGCACGAGTAAAAATAGGACTCGACTTCAGCTGATTTTGTCGTCACTCTAACCCACGAACACATAAGGTTTTACGACGCGTAAAGTTATTGCAACTGTCAATGCATCAGAGCCTACGGTGCTGCAGCATTTCTGGGGAAACGTAGCTGTATAACTGATAGACAGTGTGTAACTCCCAAACTGAGATCCATCACGAGAAATGACTCATGCGGTATTATTTGGGGGGTTGGTTTAAGTGCGAGTTTATCACATTGCTGATCGGCCAGCGATTTCTGGAATGTGCAATACTGATGAATCGCAGTAAGGATGAAACAGCTGTGAAGCGCTCCTCGGCTCTTTGCTAAAGATTGAATTCATTCACAGGACGAAATCTCGAGTGAGAAATTCTTAACTTTCTTGGTACAATCAACATTCTGCAACTGAATGTGTTGCCAGAACTAGCACTTCTACATTGCACTAAATTTGTGGTTGTTGCTCGGGCGTTTTGTCTTGCTTTTGGGGTTTGGGTGAGTAGGGTTATGAAAGGGCATTTTGCAAATTGCATAAATATGCCCGGCACAATTTACATTCAAAACAAATGACGGAAATCAGGCAAGTTTCCTAGCCGGAAGTAAAGTTAAACGCCATTGTTTTCATTTCTGGTCAAGTACTTTTGAGATAATATTAATAAAGGCACAATATTACGCAAAAAACCAAAAAAAATGTGCCTATTTGAAACTGAATATGTGAGAAGTGTGGAGTGTATGAGCAGTGTTTTACATCTGGACACTGTATTGTGATATTTCGAATATCATTCCACCTGGAACACACGACAGCCTTGTGCGGCATGTTGAGCTAGAGGACACCACGAACGAGAGATTCAGCTGGATTCAGCTGAGTCTCGTTAAATCCAAATGAAGGAATATGACAAATTTCGTCCAATTTGAGTTCAATTCGAACATAAGGTTGATAGAAACCCGCGGACTGCGCCTACCTGATGATCCCCAGGAAGGGCACCACCGCTCGGGTACCATCGAGGAGTTATCAGCAACCCCATGAGTAGCGTGTTACGTCAAGTGAGGAACAACTACGGCAGTCACTTCAAGTATTTTTAATGAGCATCTGCTTATATACTTGCTAACTTCCACGTTGATGCCAAGAAATTCTAAGTTCACTAATTACCTCCAGCTTGAAGGAAGATCAGCACCGCAGTAAGTGAATATTTTGACGGGCTAAATAATTATGTTCAGTGTCTGAATTCACCGACTGTCATGGGAAATATCCCTTGACTATCCTGAGATGACTGCACCAGGTGGCTTTGTCAAGCGTAGAATAATCCATCGTCTGGCAGCATTCTTTGAATATCAACCCTGTTAGTATCTGATCGATAAAACCGGAGCTAAGTCTTATTCGCAAGTGTTTAGTTTTTTCCTCAGAACTGTGCCTCCGATGACAGTTACTCATTCACAATCAAATCAACCCTGATGCCCCGTTTTTGCACCGAAACTGAACAGTGCAATCATGCTCCTTACAGTAAGCACCTCTAGGAAACCAACATATCGTCCTACATGTGTCCTGGTAACCAACCCGCATGAGTAGTTGACACCCGAAATGGAAGAACCCGCCAAAAGCTTTCTTGTGGAGCTGAATGTGATGCTTTGTAGGAGGCCTTGGCCCATGTGTAGACCCGACGGAGTACAATAGACTGAACAGTATTCATAGATCTGTTGTAAGCCATCAGTCCCTCCAATCATGATGCCATAATAACTGACTCTTGCACTCGCTGACAGTTGAAAACCAAATTGAAAGCATAATCGTCAGTCCCCTCAACTTTGGACACTTCTCAAACGGTATTGTCAAATCAACGTTCCAATGCGCCGCTTCAAGTTATCACGTGCAATCAGATGGCATTATGATAACTCGGGCTACAGCGTTTCCGTTTGTAGAATGACATAATGTTGGTCAGTTTTGAATCGGAAAGTGAAACAGACTCATCTAAGTGTATTTGTACTTACTTGGTAGTGCACAAGACCGGTCCTACTGAGGCAAGTACACCCTCAGTTTGATATGATTGCGACCAAAGTAGATCCTTCCCGAGAACATCGCCTGTTCTTCAGTGTCCAGATGCTTCGTGTCTCAAAACTTCTTACATCCAAGCTGACAATCAATCTTCAGGCTACTATGCCAGATATCAGAACCTCACGTGATCTACCAAGGAAGCTGAGTTTTTTCTTGCTAGAAGTCTCTTGGAATGGTGAAGAGCTAATACCAACACGCGTAATGGTTTGAATCCTACTGCACTACGGTTGATTTATAATAAATCGTTCTCTACACTGGTCTTATGTCCGCTTCTTAAGTGCCCCAAGATCCACGAAACTGTTCATCGATTCACCTAAGTAAACTAGTCAGCGCTCTTCAAAACTATGCTGTGATCACAAGCTTATCATTCAAACTACAATTATTCACCATCTTTCTTCATGTGTTTCAGGTGACGTTTTAGAAATGGGACTACTTTCTGCTTCCGGTGAACTTCTGGTACCGAAAATGAGACTCCCGGCCAATATTGTAACCCCTAAACCAGCTAATGATGCCCAAGAATTTGAAAAAAGCCCAGTAACAGGAAGACAGAACAGTCAATTTCCTTTGAATTCAGACAGAATTGACAAAAATTCTGGTTTCCCAGCCGGATACTCGCCTGATCAGATAACCGAAAATCAGTTTGACAGCGGATCTAAAAAGTACACATCGGTAAGATAACGGGATGCATTGATGCCTATTTTTATCTGAAATCTGCGCATAATCTGGCAGCAGGTTTTATCAGCGGCATAACGTTGGGCAGCCAGTGATGTCCCCTGGGAGAATTCTACAGGGCAGCAAATGCAGCCAACATTATTAAAAATGGTGGCTGTAACAATTTTGACTGGCTGGTTGAGATAAGAAAATGAACGGATATTTTCGTCAAATCATGCTGACGCGAGATTAAAATATATCCCACATTTCATATTAGGATTGTTGAGACACCCGTAAACACAGACAACGTCATCAGTTCTGTTGACATGGAATTTCGATTAAAACAAGAGGTGCTTGTCTCCGTGTGCTCAACTATTACGATATCAGTTCAGGAGAGAAAAGGGTGTCCGGTTTTTTACTTATTCTCGAACTGCGGGAGAAATGTGCTTTTGTGACCAAAGAATTAAAAGGAATTTTTTGCGTCGAGTCATCTTCATCGCCAGAGACAGCAACATCATTGAGTGAGTGTATAGCCAGGAAGTTCTGTTCAATTTTACTTAAGACCTTGGAGTAATAAGAAAATAAGAGTGGATGATGGAGAGGGATTAAGCTAGCCTGTTGCAAGCATTTTGACATGACTACAAATTTGAGCAACCAATCGGGAAATTTGAAAGTGACGTCAAGAATTCCATTGACATTCGTTAGCCAACATTTTTGTGGAGATTTTCGGTAAATTAAGTCAGTTAGTGCCGGAAAGCCTAGAAACACTGTCTCATCCTTATTCGGAATCATTAGCAATGCGCATCTCGCGAAACTCCGGAGAGTCTCGAGTCCGCGACCTTCTGGCTTGTGGTTTGAACATTTAATCGTTCGGCCACGAGGGGCTTATCAGCAGTGTGATTAACTCGCACTTAGACAGGATATAGCGCCGCTCATCCTTCAGTCACGGGATCTACTTCACGCGGACACACATGCTGACTGGCTCCACGAACAACGACCTCTCAGATGGAAGTTTCATTAATCGGGTGAAGTTTATTCTTCCACTGAACTACTTTTATCCAGCATCAGCCAACGTTTCTTGCGATACCTTCAGACGAGTCCAGGGGGAGTCGCTGGGACCTTATCCTGGTATGTGTTTCGTACCAACAACACTTAAACTCTTCGAGGATTTTTCTACACACGTCTGCTAAGTAATGCGTTGTTGCAAGCTACGCCAATCTGAAGTAGGCATGGAAGACAACGTTATCCTATCGTAGCACATAGCAGAGCCACCACAGTTGAGGTTGCTGGTTGTAGTTGATTGAAGTACCTCCTGCATAACCACATATCTGTTTTTCATTACCTCATTACGCATTCGTTGACTCAGTCCAACACAAGCAACGAGTTGAGAAAACGATGGGCAAAAACCTGGAGACTTTTGATACCGCCTGTCCACAGAGGCCATGCCTCGCAGCCATAAAACCATACATCTTTACTGTAGCTTGGTATATGTAACCCTGAGGTCCAGTGGTATGCGTTTCTGACGCCACTAATGATGCACATTGGGAAACATGATTTGGGATTTTGGTACTCGTGCACAGAATTCACCAGATACACTTCCGTCAGAGGTAATACAACCACCAACTTTTGTGAAATTCTCCACAACCTCCAGTGCTTCTCCTTGAATATTAAGGGGAATGTTCAGAGACTCCGTGTTCTAAAGCACTTAAGGCACTTTGAAGGCGCATGGTACACACCAAAAAATTGTACGATGGTAGTGAGTTTATGCAACAGAGCCTGTGCTTGACCTTCATCTTCAAAGATGAAGGTGATTCTATCTCAGCAATTCAGATCAGCAACACCCTCACCAGAAGCCATTGGAACAACGGCGTCAGCCTCGTCATTTCATCAGCGACGAAACTGAACTACAACGGAGAGAGTTAAAATATTTATCGGACACCGTTTTATGCTTTAGAGAGAGAGTTCACCATGCACTCTTACATGCCGACAAGTATATGAATATAGGGACCGGATTACATTCACAAACATCTTAAGCATACTCTGTTGAGCAAGTATGGTTAACAGTGCTGACCGATAAACAGAAGTGAAAGCACCCATATAGTTAAGGAACACTAAATTGCAGGTAATCTATACGTATTTCATTCCTCTAACGTCTGACGGTTTATAAAGTTGTGATCTACGCAGCTTCTCCCAGGTCAAAATTCTGCTTAATGCTCACGCGTCAGTGTACCTTGTTGCGCCCTAATGTGACCAAAATCACCGGCTCCAAAAGTCTTGTTATAACGGGAGACAAACTGGTACTTTTTTCGGATACTGCATCTACCGTGAGTATCATTTTTGAAGATGAGTACTACTATAAGCGCACCTCCAGTCGACTGGAACGGTCTGTTTCTCCTCCTCGAATGGAGGAGGATAAAGATCGACAGATACGGCAGGGCGAGTACAGATATACACTGGAACACTTCTTCTGTGTTCACAGTCCACCCCCGCCCCCCCTCCCGTTGAAGTACGGCAGAGCGGGTTAGAGGCGGCAACTGGCGAACTAAATTGTTGTTCGAAGTATTGTACCCAACGGCCCAAACGTTGTTTTCTGGATATCAGAGTCATTTTGGTCTCTGAGAGTTTCACTGACTTCCAAGCACAAGTCGACCGAATCACGTTGAACGACCTGCAGAAGGCTCCCATCATTTTTCGTATCTTCCGCTTTTTTCGGCCTTTCGCGTCCACAAAGCTTCCTATTCTGCACGGCAGTCTCATCTGGCGTCGGATGATGCAGCAAGTTGAGTTGTGATTGCAACCAGGAGGAATCTTCTGCTGGATCCTAAGAAGGCCACTGTTCTATTAGAGCTCCACTATCTGGATGGGGTTAGCTGAGTTGCAAACAGAAGTTCCGCGATTGAGTAGCGCTTCGGTTATCTGTCTGAAGCGGCTGTTCCAACCCATGTCGAACTATTCGGTGGGCGTTACAGTGGTTGATTCTGGTAGGTTAGCTTGATTTCTGGATCCACGAGCTTCTCAATGGCTAAGCCATGTGTGTGCTCTTTAAGTAGACTTGGAAATTGCATGCAAAAGCAGCAGTGCTGCTTGGTTGGAGGTTGACTACGGGAAACCTGTTTAAAATAGGCGTTAGGTCCACGTTTGCTTTGATTATTTAAACTCCATTTCCTATGAATAAACTTGTACTTTTGGAGGGCTTTCTTTGAAAAAGGACTCGCGTAAATTCCACTGATAGTCCTTTGAGTGATGGAACGGTTAAACCCTACTTTTCATAGTGTTGGCTATGATATCATAATTAACAGAGTTCACACTTTCAGCCACATGTTTTCCAACCCCACTCTCCGTTTTTTGCAAGCGTTACCTTAATCAGCCTCCCCTGAAGCACTCCACCTATCCAAATGCCCTTGTGTAATATGGCCCGTATTTTGGGGCATGGGCTACTGATCTTTCATTGCAACGGCAGATCTTGTGCCTCCCCATAGATGAAATTGTGTCTGTGGGCCAAAACTGTGCCGTGGTTAAATTACACAACAATACAGACAGCAATTGAGATTTCCCTTATTGAATGCGTTCAGAGTGGCCGCAGTAGCACTGCGGTTCGTGTACCTGGTTTCTCCCGTGAGTCGGACTGAGTGAATGATCCACGCAGTGCCCTCCAATAGGGTTTTCGACAGTAGAAGCTAGAAAAACAACCCGTGACCCTCCAGGTTCCGGGGAATCTTATGTAGACTGCTGTCTCTTGGACGGGTGCTTGAGCCAAACGCTTTGGTTGAGGACAATAATTGTTCCCTTTGTCCAGGCTCGGATGACTTGATGTTCCTCCAGAATATTGGTATGAATCAAACTGACAGGACCGATTCCACGCCACACTAGCTTTCACGACAGTGTGAACCCTCAGATTGGAAACAACTGTCCTAACGACAGTCCTAACGACGTCTTTTAATGTACTTAAGAACTTGCATGAGTGCACATCTTGGTGGCTTCATCGTCGCACTGGTTAAACGTTACCACCAACAAATGGTATTGGCTGGCATGCATCACAAGTGTACGGCAAAACAAGTGGTGCCTGCAACCGTTTATTCAGTATTTCTCCAGCTGGACAGTCAAATGCAGTCTCCTCTGTCACATGAGAAACTAGTTTTCAGCCTCTCTTAGGTTGACGCTTGTTTATTGTAATGTAAACAATTCCCCAACTGGGCATTTGGCAAGACAACATTGTCTTGCACATTCGCAAAGAAGCAGAACTTTTAGGGCTCAATATAAATCCACAAGAATAAAACGATACTGTTTGTACGGCTTACAAAACTCCCAGCTTACCTGATATCCCTAAGCCAAGAAATTGAAATCTTAAGACCAAACTCAAATCGTACTCTGCGCACACACCTTGCTGATGAGAGTTATTATCAATAATTCATCGAGCACTTTCATCTCACGAACACGCTTGAAAGTGACAATGAAGTTCCTAGTCCAGCTTTCCAAGTCGAATTTTTCAAGTGTCTCAGGCCATTTTACGCTGATACAACCGCAGCCAGTCTCTAAGTCACCTAACACTGGATTACATGATACTGAGTGTTCTTCCATGAACGTGTTTATCGACAGTTTAAAATCGCTTGACATTTGGTTGCTACCCAGTCTCTAAGTCACCTAACACTGGATTACATGATACTGAGTGTTCTTCCATGAACGTGTTTATCGACAGTTTAAAATCGCTTGACATTTGGTTGCTACCAGGTAGTTGCATGTGAGACGCAGTGGATAGTCAGGTTGAAGCTACTACTGCTAACTTTACCACTTCAATTTCAGGGAGGCAAATCGATAAACGCCGAACTGGAGGAAACGAATCATGGATTGATGGCTTTCAAAGATGCACCCGGTTACCGTGGACAACAGATGGGTTTAGATCGTTCCGTAATGACGGGTGACAAAGGCATCGTCGAGTCCAACCGCAAAGTACCTTATGCAGGCCCACTTCATGAAAAGTCATTGTCAGATCAGAATGAAGAAAGCAAACCAGCCTTGCCAACCAGTCTCGAACGCCATCAGCACAGCCCTGATGGGCAACAGGGCACAGGAGATGGTTCAAGACCAGCACTGGAAATGAGTATGTACATCCTGTTAGGTTTGTTTGCCCTCGTTGGACTTGTATTCGCCGTGAACTGCGGAGCCGCAGTTGCTCGTTATCGCTGGGAACGCAGCAGTCGGAGGCGTTCTGCAAATTCTGGTGAACTGGTGCAGCAGTCTCCAAGTAAAGTCGCTGATCAACCGCTAGCGACCTCTGAGGGTATTCCAAAGGAATTTACCGAAAATGCTCTGGAAGCAGAATGCAAGCCAATCATTGACAAAGGCAGTACTGAAAATGTCCTGGAACGATGCAAGCGTTTTATATTACCACGCCGACCGAAACGTAAGGTGAGTTATTCCAAAAGTGCATCGTTTTTTGTATCCAGCTTGTTTGGATAAAAGTTTTTTTTCATACACTGAACTAGACGTGAGGTATGTGTTTCCCAGATCAGTTTCATGTGCATTGGATTTCGTATCTCCCATCCCCGAGTGCAATAACAAAACAGACTTTACAATTTACTTAGTTCCAAGTTCAAGCAACTTGTGCGTAAGTTGTTACACGTGACTTTGGCACACAAATTGTGAATGAAATACTCTACTATGGTCAAGACCACGTGTTTATCCTGAATGACAGCAGGTGGTTGCTACCTGTTTGCCGGTGAACTCCGTCATGTGCCCTGGCCTGGCCTGCTTGCGAGATAATTCTGCAGTGATCTGCAACAACAGACTTCACGCCCTGCTGTTCAACAGAAATTTCAACTGAACGACAAAGCTTTATGTTTCTTTAGGATTCTGACAGCCAAAACATCTTTTGCCAGTTCGTTCCCCAGCTGACGAAAGTAGGATTATCTATGTACACTAACTTAATAGCGTTTAGCAAAATTTCACATCTGAAGTGCTGTTGAAATTCCCTATAATGGTGTCGCCAGATATTTAAACTTGATTTTGCTCATTAACACACGCATGGCAATTTAGTATGTCATACTCGATATCATGTAGGAGTAAACGACCCTGAAATTGTTATGGTGGGGAAGCACATAAGATAGTGCAATGTTACTACGAGGTGATCGACGGCCTTGATATTTTGATGTTAAGTTCGATGCACGCTGAGAACGAGTAACTGGTCTTCGAAACAAGCTTCCTATTGGTTATTCTGAGGTAACTCTTCACTGCTTATTCCATCACCTACTAGAACAAAAGAGTCGGTGAAATTAGACACAGCCGCCGTGTTTCGGAATGATCCTTTTAAAAACAACCGAATTTGCCCATAGTGCAGTACAAAATAGGATTTCAGAAATTTCCCATTGGAAATTTCTCTACGCGATTGAATTCAATGTGTCGGGGAACACTATACGATTGCCTTATTTCTATAGCTAGTCATCATCGAGGCCAATCACTGGAAAGGTTCCTGATGCCGCATCCTGTCCAAGTGCGAAGAAATCATACTGCCTTTAGAATAACCAATATTAGATTTTACAAAGTTTCTTGGGTTCGACCCTTAATGACGACGATGATGCGCGAAATGGATGGACTAGCTGTATAGTGTTACTTAGCTTTCCGACTCGAGCTGATCTTGTTTTCAGGTTGAAAACAAGTTTGGAATGGTTGCACCCTCGTTCTCTGACAGTGGTGTTACCCCAAAACTATGACTGTACCCTAAGTATACTACTATCAACATTAGGTCTCAATATTCGCTAAAGTGCAGTTTGACTGTTTCGTGTACAGTTATGAAGAATTATCACTTGCCGGATCGATGATAATCTCAATCGCCGTCTAGCGCTATTGCTCACATTTTTCGCAGCTGGATTGCAACAAGGACTTTTCACCATGCAGAATGCAGCACAAAAAAAGACGCATTTATCAGTATGGTGAATTTCAAGTTGCAAAAGTAATTTCGGGGTTATATGCTTTGGTCGTTTCTTGTATAAAACGTTCTCATACCACAGCATTTCGATACTTTTTGCAACCTATCGTGGTACGTAGCACGGACAGCTTATCATATGACAACAAGCCATCAACAGTGTGAGTAGAAAAGATAAAATCTTTCTCACTGGACTGAAATGGCATCGGTTGACAAAGCGATTTGCATCAAAATGATCAGGAAAATCATTTCTATTTACACCTCATGTAAATAAGGAATATATTTAGTGTTTGAGAATTTGTCTGCTCCTATAATCATCATCTAAAATCGGTATAGTACTCAATCCACTGCTCACAGTGCTGGAGTTGAATGGACTCGCGGAATTCGAATTTGCGAAGTCAGATGAAAGCCGAGTAAAATTGATCCCGTTGTAATTGGTCTTCTCGGGCATTTGGCTGGTTCACATCTCCCTGAATGTTTAAAAATAAAGATGCAACCACTTTCGGCGCTGATCTTGTTAGAATTTGCTTCTGGGCCGCCTTATGGTTACGTGCAGGCAGGTAAGTAGGCAAAAAGTGGCTCTACGATTACGAATCCTGTTAGCTAGCTGCCAAAAAATGCGACTAGAGAATCATCGATCAAAATGCCATTTACAGAACCAATGAGGATAACAAAAATTGTTTTTATGGATTTTTTATATATAAGGCTAACTAAACAGGACTCATTTTCAGAAGCTCTATCCAGGGGACATTTTTTTATGAAGGGTTTGTCTCGCCAATTTTCCACCAATTTTTCGTTTAATATCATCTCCTGCAAGGCACATTTCCGTGGATCTACTTTTGATCCCGGTGATATTTGTCAGCTGTTGCCAGAAAACAGTTTAGTCCGTTAATCCGTAGTGTAATGAAAACAGTATTAGAGCTTACACCTTATTCTGTTGCTGTAGTGCGAGCCGACAGCACTAATAGCCATCCGGATTCTAGTTGGTTACATGGTTAATCTCTTTTCGTCCGATCTGTGTGAGCATTCCCCATGGATCGATGGTGCAACACTTTTTCAATGGGGTGTGAGGTTTTCAGCTGCAACTTGAATGATAGATGACGGATGACTCCGCGTCATGATGGAAAAGAAGTAGTACCGTCATGCTGGGGCCAACTGGTGGCTCTCAAAAGGCCTCTGAGTCTTCGCAGCCGTTTTTGCTCCTCCGGGTGTACGTCAGCTGTTTGCGCCCAGCACCACATTCGAAATTCAAGATGGACCTGTTGGTGAATTTTGTTTGGGCCACTGGAAGCCTGAACACGTTTGGCGGGCGGCACAGCCGCATATAACACTCGTGCAAAGTGCTGTAGACCACTGGACAAACAGACATAGGCCCGCTGAAATCCCTTGGTCTACACAGGCAAGTAGACCCATGTAGATTCGCATAACAGAGAACGCACCAAGGTGCACGCGTTATTTGTAGCTGGGACGAAGTTGAAAAGAAACCTTTGTTAAGAGACTCTTCTCTTTGCAAGGCCGCTGCACTTATACCGACATTTTCCCGGAACTAAATAAATTCGACAATAATGTGCGGTGTTGCATGATCAATATTAATCACTCAGTAGTATGAACCAATTATTATCGCAGCTCCGGAAAAGCACTTGATCAGTGCACAATAGACATAGATCAGAAACTAAACGGTAGAAAAATGGGTAAGTTATGGATGGGTTACATCTAATCTTATTGCTGCTGAAAAGTGAACATGAACATGTACGACGACGCAGGTATTCTCTGGGGTAAAAATAGCAGGAATGTTTACGGACGGTTGTAGAAATATCAATTTCGTTTCATAATCCCCAGTATAGGTATCTCCTGGTCATTTACCAAAGCCATTTGCTTTGAACATACAGCAAGGTTTATGAATACATCGTGAATGAATCAGCCGTTTTCATGTATCAGACATGTCAGTTAACTTTTTGTGTGCTGAAATCAAAGGAGTATTAAATTTTCCGGGAAACACACTCACTTGCAAATCAATTTTGTTTTCACGAGAGACTCAACAGAATCTCTCGTTTATGATATTCTACAACTAAATGTGCTGCATACAGGCCGCCTCGTGTTTCAGTTGGCAAGATATTCGAGATATCACAGTATGGTTTCATAACGGAAACTACTCTCGAAAACAGTCCAATTTGGGTTCAAGTAGATCATAAGGTTGACGGAAACTCGGGGAATGCGCCTACCTGATGAGCCCCAAGAAGGGCGAAACCGGTCGTGGGCTGTCGAAAAGTTTTCAGCAACCTTGTGAGTATCTTTCTTTATGAGAGTATTAAAGTTGTATAAAATTTTTGTGTGTGTCTCAAACAAGATAGCAGTCGTAAGTTAACGACTGTGGCTATCACTATTTCTAGCATGGTTACAGAAACCGTCCAAAATGGGCGAAAGCATACCTTAACACAGTGCTAAATGTATTCATTTTTGAAGGAGTTGTTGATTCCAGGATGGCTAAACTTGATACAATTTTTGAGTGCGTGCTCGCGCATTTGTCCGAGTTTACGTGTTATAATATCATGAAACATTCTCACTGAGAACGAATTTTCACGGATTGTTCAATTTCTTATTGAAGCCCCTTCTGCATCGTGATAACAACTGGGTATGGATCAGTCGAGAAAAAGCCGTTGATGTGATTGGCGTTTCAGATCAGTCAACCTTGTCAGTCTCGTTGGGTAACCCAATTGTCCCGAACTCTCCAATTTTAACAAACTCGGCCAATGAGGTGCTCCAAGTTGCGGGAACAGGCGAACAACGGAAGATCGCACGATCCCAGTCTTATGGGACACGACACGGTACCACTACTGCCGTCCTATCAGTCGGTGAGGCAGATATGCTTCTCCTGCACTCGCCTTATCACAAATCTACCTGGCAAGATAGTCTACGACCCGGAACCGGAAGGGTAGCAAGCTACGTGGATCGCAGCATACACAACACCCCAGTGTCATTTGTCCCGAAATTTGTGCCACGCTCTCCCTGGGACTCCGAGGAACCTCAATCAATGAAGACATCAGAAGTGCACACACTTGGACGTCCCTTTAGACATCACACTACTGAGACCCTAATGCAGAGGAATTATCAGGTGAGCCAGCTTTCACCTACCAAACTGTTTGACACTTTTTATTTTTCAGTGTTTTGAAGTCAAAGACGAATTCACATGGATTTTAAGGAGAACAAATTACTTTTTTCCCACGTTTATTCTGGAAATACCGCTATTAACCTAGGTTATTTCTGACCGCCTTTGAATATAGCAAGTAGTGAGCGACGATACAAAACCTCCTGCTTCCCCGACAAGTTTATAAACCTTTGAAGTTGATGGCACCTGACTCCTAGCCTTTACAGTTTGACTTTACAGATTTTACCCTGACTGAATACAACATAGGCTCAATGATTAGAAGTGAGGCAGACCATAATTACATGGTTGGCCTTCTCACAATTTTCTTGCACCTTGTAAAGATGTGGGACTGGATACATGCTTCTATAAGACAGCCACCATTTTGGTACTTCTCACCTAACCATCTGTTAAATCCACCTCGTTTGTGATGTTTCAGGGTCAGGAGTGCAGTATTCGAATTATATCAAACCCTCTGTCTGACGGAAATTGTGGAAACCGTTCAGATCCCTCTAGTCAGAGAAACTCTGAACACGAGCGTTCTTCTTACCACAATACCTCTGAACGTTGCGGCAAGGAAGTCTGGTTTCATGCAGCAAACCGAACATTAATGGGAAGCGCTAGCGCATCAATGCGCCGTCGCCGTACGTATAATATGAAGAACAGCAATTGGGATTCAAGTGCCAGCCCTTTGATATGTGCTGGTCAGACGACACCCATTGGAGGAAATCAGCCTTCATTATTCTCATTTCCGAATCAGACAGCGCCTTTGAAACAAGGCAACCATATGACGGTCGCTTACGGTGACGCAGTCATGCATGAAGCCGTGATGTGTCGCAGTTGGGTACGACCTAGGTCCATAAATCACACACCCAACAGGGATATCGGAAACATTATTCTAAATGACGTACCAACACAACACACACCTGTGCAGGACTATTCTTCACCTTGGCACGCGCGTCATGCACAGCCAGTCAACAAAACCAACGCCTGCGCGTCAAACCAACCTATTGTCGACCAGATGGAAGCTAGAACCTCAGTGCCGATCAAAGAACGATTTACCGTTTTGGATCAACTCCGCGAATCCAGGGAGCTGGGTCAAGTTGGAAATTCCTTTTCGCCTGTTGATTACGCACCTTATCCACCTGTTCGCACAACCAGTAAGGCCACCAACTGCCGCACGTTGGAAACGCGTGGAGGAGCTCGTAAGTCACACTCAGCTCCAGGCCATCGTCCAATGAGCCTGCCACAGGTAAGCGCACACATATGACTCCTTTTTTACATGAAAACAAGCACACATGTTGCAATGCGATCAACCAAACCACAGCTGCACTTACTATCTGAGGTTGAGCTCATGTGGATGGACCGTATTGGTTTCCTTCCAAACAATTCCTGTCCTGAAATAAACACGGTAGGGATAGTTAGCTGGAAAACCCTGAAAATATTCAGTAAATCCACGAAGTCTTAGTCAGTTGTCATCTAGGATAGAGTTCTTCCTTTCAAAACCAACGCAGTCGGTATTTGTAGGTCGGCTATTTTTGTGAGCCTTCATTGTGCCCGCATCTAGTGAAATGACCGGATGAGATTTTTCACTCAACGAATTGCGAAGCACGATTTTGCTGTTCGCCGGAGGCAACCAGAATATCGGTAGTACAAGACTGGCTTGGAGGAGGGTATTAGACAACTTACCGCCTGATAAAGTCGAGATAGTACCCACTTGTCAGGACTGAGACATCTACATGAATTCTGAAAAGGGCCGAAAGCAGGTGATGCTCAGGAAGGGCTTGCGCGGATCCCCATCACACATTTTCTCGAGCACCCATGAACGGTCGACCAACAGATTACCGCGAGGATAAGTGACCGGTCAGTATTCCCATTATTTGGCAGTGGTTAGTTGAGTGTATGAATAAGTCGACAGCTGGTCATATGAAGAATCGCACTTGATCACGCGCAGTTTTGAAATCGAATTGTTGATTGACTTTAGTAGCAGTTGATAAGCTAGAATGGTGACAGGTGGACAAGTGAACTGGTTGGAGTATGCTGCCGACATCGTTAAAGGCAAACCAGTTCAGTTGTGCTCTTCGCGATATCTAGTAATCGTTCTTCAGTCATCGCTGCATTTTCGATGCCACTAGCTTGCCTCCTTTTCCTGAACTTTCTTCTTAGTGAACTGCATATTGCCATTCATCATTTTTCAGTTTAGACTCATATGCGCTTCAGTAAGCGGCTCAAAAGTGTCCACCAAAAGGCGCATTGTCCAATAAGCTTAGAAAACCGCCCTTACTACGACTGATAAAAGATTAGCTCCTGAGCTAAACCACTCACTCCGTGATTTGTTCTGGAAACACTGATTATTCATGTGGAAATGATAAATGTCGGAATTTAATCATCCAAGGATACTGCGTTGTCTAGCTTGTCCTTAAAATATGCTCTTTTGCAGGTTGCTTTCTGCTGTTACCTTTGCTGCATGCCGCGCTCACTGTGTGATTTTAGAACAAGGATTACCAAACAATGGCGGTCGCATATCCATCGCGCGGTCGATTTTATGACTGTAGATTACCGCACCGTACCGATACAGAATAGTTGATATACTCTGAACGTCTGTTGAGAGTTCCGAACTTGAAAGGCAAAACGTGGATTTGCAATACCTTCAGCACAATGTGGCTGCTTAAAAAAGTATCAACTGTAGTGATCTTTCGAGTATATCAACTAGCTACCATAGAGTTGAGTAGCCTGAAGCATGAGTAGTTCCATTCTGTTGAACATCACATCTGCCTATTTCTACTCTATATGCGACCAGTCTTTTCACATCCATCGATCTACTTTTTTCACTTGTCCATATCAGTTTTAGTGATTCAGTAGCCCATTGTTTGAACCATTCAGCTTTGTTCTTTTCGATAAACTATTTGTCCATCATCTGTCTCGGAACAGTATGATGTGACGGACACCACCTTTTAGGTCAATCAAATCCTAGCGTCGAATCAGAAAACAACGCCCTCCCGGCCATTAATTGGACCAATTTCATGTTCTCCTTGGACCAAGCAGACAATCACGTCCCATATATTCCGACACTGGTGTCGTGTGTGCTTAATCGAAAAGCCGATGCCATCTTGCGGAACGTTGTGTAGGGAGAAGAGATCGTAATACACAATCGTACCAGATTTGGAAAGATTTTTTGGCTGCATATGAGATCCTTCTAACTTTTAAAACAGGGTAAAGGGAAATACCTGAATGAGCTTTCTGGCATCATTAATAGATGACTGAATGCTAAATAATTCACAAGTTTGGATTAAAAGTACACCAAAGTCTTTGGCTTGTGAGTAAGGTGAGTTATGGTCGCAAGCATTATCTTGTATGTACATATATTACCACTTATTACACGGAGATGAGTTGTTGGTTTACTTGTTTTTCAGCCGACGTGACCATAAAAACCGATAATGTTGATGACATGCGGTACTGGCGGAGAACCACACCGCACTAAAAACTGGTTGAGTGACCATTGGAACTTATGCACACAGCTGAATTGTGTAACTTCCTATGTAGCAGGAACGTTTTGCTGGAGGACATTAAAACACGCATTTCAAATCACAACGAAAAATAAAAAGAACCTCTTAGCTGGCTTCCCGCGCATTACAAACTTTTGTTGCTTAAAAATGGCTCAGTTTGATAAGGTCTTACGTTCACTGGAATCACGTGTAATTTGGAGTAGTTGCTGTTTCACCGTGTTGCATGAGATCATAATAGCCAGTAAACGGGAACTCTGTCACAACATACCATAAATGCACCTGAGGAAACTTCCTAATGGTCTGCCGATATTTGGGTTTCAGGTCCATATTGTTTCCATCATGCAGAAACTAGTATCATTCTCATGCATTCTACCGTATTCAGGCGTTTCAGGTATCAAATGACCTCTATTCCATCCTGGCTGGAAATACGACTTCCACCAGTGCTTCAATTCTGCTTGACTCTCATTCGCAACTTAACGCGACCGACTCACAGCGTCATTTGAAGTCGAATCCGAGTGAGGAGAGTTTGTGGTGGTACCATCCGGTCCGCCAGCCACGACGTCGTAAACGACGTCAAGACAACAAGCAATCAGTGACTTCACAGAAGCCAACGGCTTCAGGACCCACAAGCATGGAAACAGCGGAGGAAACTGTGAGGCCTGTGGACCGTGTAGACAGTTCCGAAACATTGGAATACGCATGTCCGGCGTCATGCGAATGCGACGATGTTATTAAATGCTCAGAACGCGTTGATACTTGTAAGTTCCAGGCAAGGCTAGTTTACAGTGAAATGAGTAGAAACTAATAAAATTTATCCCTTTTTATTATTTGTCAAGTTTTGTGCCACAGACAACTACGGATAAATACTGAGCCAAATTAAAAACCGGCTTGCATACCCTAATTACTTACTTGCCTAATTACTTACTCACTTGCTCACTCACCTACTTACTGACCAGGTTACCTACTTATATAGTGATATACAGCCTGTAATGCGTGTGAAGAAAGCGCCCGGGAGCGTTGGCTGTCTACTTCCACATTAGTGAGCACCTTGCTTTTAAAAAACAACGTGAGCAATGGGAAGCTCCAGCATATTAAACTACCGTTGAAATCGAATTCACTACACTCGAGTTCTTTTCTGTACTGAAAGGCTCCCACCTTTCCTACCTCTCTTTCTGTACATTTATGGATACAGCAGGAGCGCTAAAATATTCATAAGTATTCTATCATCATGGTATTACATACATAGTCATATATGATCTTGAATTTCAATTTGTTTGTTTCAATTTTGTTTGGTACTTCATGAAGACGTTTTGCTTTGCCTGCTATAACACCACTAATCTCTGAATTCAGGATTAGTGAATCGCTTGAAGTTGGATGTACGGGAACAAATGATCATGGCAGCTTAGTTGTTGCTGTCAGTGCCATTTAAATCCGAGTAATATAGGACATTTTGTGAAGTAGTGCCATTAAAAATTTGAGTGTCTTTTTGCCACGAAGCGCTCAGTTCAGTCTAGTTTCACACTGTCGCTTTGCTTGAAACAGTTTTCGGCAGCTTGACAAGTAGAAGATCAAATCAAGATAGTGGACTGTGGTTAAAAACGGGCATAATCAGTGGTATTTGAAATCTTCTGTCCAATGCTGGCCGCTGGATACAGTTTGTCACTCGGCTGCAAACTCGTCTGCCGTCAGTGCATATCCATATTATACAGAATTGACACGTAAGCTAAAAGTCAGTCAGAGTAATGGTGCGTGGGACCTATTGTCAGCTAATATGTGGATAGGCATATCAAATGATTCAATACAAAACACCAGGTAGCTTTTTTTAGTGCAGACGATCAAAATAAACAGGAGGCCGGGCACGCCGTTTCTGAAATAGCAGGTTGGGTTTATACGGTTTTTACGTTCACTCTGTGCACTCTTTAGTTTCCGTTCTCGCTACTGATTTGTTGAGGAACCATAAGCCATTCTTTGATGAAATCCTTACAAACGCCTCATGAGATGTTATGCTGTATTATGCTGTAAAGCTAAACAGTCCCGATTTATCGAGTTACCAAGGTTTCACCATGCGGTTCAATAAGAACGTTTCGAAATGACTCAGTGGCGAATGACATATGCAGGCATCTGATTCAATTCAAAAGATGTTCAGCTGCCAAAACTTCAAGGTCTTACTCTCTCAACCACTTTTCAAGGAGTCGTAAGAACAAAAAAGTGCCGGATTAATATTTAAGTGTACCGTGAAACTAGCAGCAAGACTTTGGAATGGATAACAAAAGTAGCAACACTGTTAGACTTCCCTTGCTTTGCTTTTATGCAGCTCGTGGGCTCCAACGACAAGTTCAGCCTCCAAGTTTCCCAGGTGGTCAGTCTACTCAAGTCAACATGTCGTCCGTCTCCGACCTTGCTTGGGATAAAGAGCTCTTGGCTCTGTCTCATGATCGTCTTGTCGCGTATTTTGCTGACATGAAGGAATCAGTGGCTTGAAAGAACAAAAACAACTAGCTTTCCTTACATTGCAAGCATACTTAAAACATAGGCACCCATTCTGAAGCTCATTCTTCTGCTTCATACACCTTTTTCGTTATGCAGATTTGGTGAGACCAGCTGAATTGTTTTTCTCAAGGGTCGCGTGACAATGCCTTGTATAGACATTCTCAGTTTTTACCGAATATACCAGTCTCCCAGAACCAAAGCCATTGGTCCAATTTTTTCTTAGACGTATATGACAGTGTCAGCCATAATCTGTAAATATGTTATCAAAAGAGGGGACAACACGTTTATCCTGTTATTCATTAAAAGAGCCCCTCCTTCTCTAACCCAGTGTGCTTTTGATCAGTAGTGTCGTAACTATCCGATGTCTGCTTTTTGCAGAACACGATGTCATGAGACGTTTCATCTATATGCAACATCTCCACCTCAGTCGCATGCATTTAATTAGGTTCAGCAGGCATTCCCAAGGTTGGGGAATAATACATTTCATAAACTTTTGGTTCTATTTTTCCTATGCGGTTGTGATAGCTATAGCAAATGTGATTGAATGGAGACCCCTCTTTTACTCTGTTGTCCATATTGTTGTCATGACCCTTTTTTGTTGCTTCTTTTTGTCCAAAGATCTTTGAATAAGATGACCATTGAGATTCTGTAACATTTTACTGCACCTTTTTCTGGGACACTTGGCGGTATTATTATTGTTTCGCAACTGTACGCTTCCCGGGTTCCATTTGTCCCATGAATCTTGGAAAGGAAACCCGAACATGACGCGTTTTATTCTACATCATAATTGCCATTTATTGATTACAACAAGAACAATCCACTTCTTCTCTTAAATTCTCCCTATGGTGGTCTCTGAGACAGAAGGTAATGACCTGATGGTATACGCAAAACGTACTGTTAACAGCAAGATCACATACCACTACAATCCACACGTCTGTTACGCTTTAATTCGACTAACACTGAGAAGAATGGGTTTGACTCCAAATTCTTGCAATCTGTTGGGATCACAGGATTTCTGCCTTGTCGGACTGATATCCAGATCCGCTTTGTGGTTCACATTTTTTAGCTAAAGGCTTATGTCAAGGTACTTCAGGCAAACTTTTTTTTATTCGACTTGGGGACCAAAATACGTCATTCGCACCCGCAGATCTCCGATTACTGGCCCATGAATGTAGTGTCAGCTTCCAACTTTAATCGCCGGAACAGGAACCACCAGTGCTATTGAACTCTCCTGAGTTCGTCATTCTGATGATAGGCTGAGAATCACCGAACCTTTCAACCAGGCACTTTAAGATGGCAACGCATTTTAATAACAATTTTCGAGGTAGGACAGAAGTAACGCAGGTTCAATCAGAATTTTTAAAAGAATGTGTCTATATAGCAAGGCTAATAAAGCTGCAACCGGTGTTGTGGGAGTGAACGTATCAAATCCGAACCCAGTTATGTGTGGCGCTAAAAGTATGGCGCACCGAATTCAGCTCAGTAAACAATAGGGTGAGCCAACTTCCCTGAGAACTGAGATCCTGTCTAGACCAAAGTGTTCGAAAAACCAAGCACCGCTCAAAATATTCCTTGGAATGACTTGTGGTCACCTCAATTTGATATATTGTCTGTCTTTGCTCTTGTGGGCCAAGTGAGGCGTGCTGATTTTTGGTTCGCACCCCGCGCAGTAGAATAAGTTCTTCCTGAACTGGAATCACTTTTACAACCCGATCTAGAAAAGACCCGCTTTTGAATTCGGTTGATCGGTAGATTGTCTGCTTGGTCACAGTGAACTTTAAAGTCCTGATGGAATGCTAGCAAGAATGGGCTTCTCATGGAAATGAATTCTCCGTGAGTAGAGAAAACCGACACAAACTAGACAGGTTGGTTCAGGGTTCGGTCATTTCGTCTCAAGGCACACAGTGCTGCTTGAGAGGAAATGAGCGAACGGAAATTCTCTCTTGCAAGCTGAAATTTGTGTTGCATGGAGGAACGGAATAAGACATTCTGTCTGTAAGAAGGGAAAATTCACTACCAAAAAATCACGAAAATAATGTAAGGGATAACATGATCCTGATCCATTAGTGCTTTCATACCATAGCGTCTGATGAGGTTCCCGATACGGAACTTTGAGTGGCGCGTAGTTCGACAATCCCGAATATCAAAAGGAAGAATTGGGTTCGTAATTCTACGGTACTATTTACACAAGGGTAAGGAAATGTGCACAACAATTGTTCGCGTTCGTGGCGTCAACAAGTCCATAGGTGTGTCACTGACCGGCACAGTGCAGTCAACGACCGCACACCGAATAACGGCGAGCGGAATGTTGGCTCAGTAGCGTGCGTTGCGGTCGTCCCTTCCAATGACGGTTTCGTGATTCTCATTGGACGTGCGATCACACGGAACCCATGAGAAAACACGTTAAGGCAGGCTCAGCAAACGAGACATGAACGCAGATGGGTAAGTAGGTCAGCAGCGCACATTCACACACAGACACACATGTCAATACACAGGTGTCGGGCAGAACGGCCTTTGCTGCAAGGTGAGTGGCGGGTACGAATGAGCAAAACAACTGGAGATCAAAAGTACATAGGGGGAGTAAGCGAATGAATGGGGGAATTATCAACGTCAAGTTAGATTCAACAGAATCTTAGGTCAGTGTTCTTGATGGCCGAATGAAATGGGGATATTTCTGCTCCATGAACTTCAGTGAAACGATCTGGATAAGTCTCCTTCAGCCAGCACGAAAAACTGACGGTTTTTGTGGCTCCGTGAACCATTGAACTAAACTTGGGGGTGTCGATGCGACACCCGCGGAGTCTCTCATACTAGGTTAGTCTGTGGTTAGAGGTCTGACAAGCGCGGTTTCCTGGTATTTCAGGCTGGGCATAAGAATTTATGGCTACTTGCTCTTTGAGAGAAATTTGATGCTCTGGCATTTTCCACCAAAAGCCGATGGCTTGCGGTCAGGCGATTGAGGACGGCAGTTGGCCTTCATTCAAGGACTGAGAACACTGGCAATATCCCAGCCCACGTACAGCAAAGGTTTTGACAAGAGAAATTCCGTCAAACTAAATCAGGCATCACATAGTACCATCAGTCGGGTCGCCTTACCTGCTATAAAACATGGCAGGTATGATCAGAATCCCGATTCTCCATTTCCCCCATTTTAACCGGTTTCACGTCCTTCATCTGCCCATCTCATTGATAACATTTTTTATATAGGCCCATCCATCAGGACTGACGAACCCGTTCTTTGTGCATCGGTCTGGAAGGCAACATCTGCGTATCAGCCTGCACCGACAGACCCATGCTTCTCGAAATCAATCTTCAAGCCTCGACGCCCAGCCTATCTGGCTGCGTTTAATTTATCAAAAGACCTAACCACGCGAGCACTTTCCACTTTTTGAAACTCATCAGTTGCGTTTACTGGAGGTCAGAAAAGTGACTGTTTCATTACGATTTTGAAAACAACCATGCGAACGCCCACCAGTTTGTTCAGTTGGTGAATTCCATTCTAGATGAGATCCTTGGAGTAACCGGACGCTGATTAATTCAAAAAACTAGTCAGCCTGATGACTGCCAATGAAGACTGAAGCGCTCAGGTATCTAGGCCTGCAAATCTCCACTCAGATGGCCCTATAGCTGTCAAGTCCTCCTCGGGGATCGGCGGCTATAGTGGATTTATTGACCGGTTTTCAGATAAATATAAAACGAGCCTGAATGGGAAAGTCAGCTGATTGTTCGGGTTCCATTTAATTTAACATTGCTCGCCTGGGTTTTCGGGAGTCTTCTATTCTGCAGTGCAAACAAAGTGAGTAGGGAAAACTTCAAAATATTGTGATTATTCGAGGCTTTGTTGCGGAGTAAGCATAATCTATCGAACGTGTCTTACTAGCCAGTGTTTCGCGAAATCTTGGGAAGTCTGGGAATTTTTTCAGAAAGATTAATTTGCTTGTGCCTTCGGCAACATAACAGACGAAGCTTCAGTAGATACATTTCGATAGCCGTGCTTTAAAAATCGATGAATAATTGTTCGAAATACGCGTCTACCAATCTCATTTTTCTAATGAAACGTGCCTACTTCCTGAACTCATATTACAGCACTCGTGTACACAGTATGTATGCATACAGTATGGAATTGAATACCCAGAAAGAAAAGGTTTCAACTTCAAATGAAATCTGAGGTATAACGGATCTCTCCACCTTGTAAGGTTACCAAATAACTTGGGTTCTCCAAATAAACGCATTTGAATACCAATTTGTTTCCCACGGGAAAGTCAGCTAAATATCGGGCAAATCTCTTGTTTGCGACATTCTTCTTAAACTGATTGTGCCGAACCAGGCAGACTCGTACTTTAGAAGGCACAATACTCGAGATATCGCAATGCGCCGTATGGATGCAACACACAAAATTTTGGATTCAGGTAAAACGTGGAGCTGGCAGCTACTCAAGGAGTTTGCCTACTTGATGAGCCCGAAGAACGGCAGTGTCCCTGACTGTCAGATAGTTCTCAGCAAATTATGTCTACATAACTTGGGTTCACCTGACCCGTCATGCCTAGCATCAGTGTGTTTTGAGATTGGTTACAAGGCCTCAAAATTTCCCAATCAAATGCTTACAATTAGCTACTTTAAGCCATGATGTAAGGATATGCTGAAACACCTGAGATATCTTTTGTGGCGTGATAACTAGATTATTGGATTTAAAAATATTTCAGAAACAAGGTACCATGTTCAATGGCAAAATAATTAATAAACAAGAAATACTGATTTACGCCCCGCATCCGGGTATGAATAGAAAGGTGTAAGATCATCAGACCCGGCAGGCATTGGCACGATGTTGATGATAGTAAGAACACCTAAGTATGCAAAATGCCGTGACGTGGAGGCTGCGAAAAACCATAGTGACAGTTCGAAGCTATGGTGCCAATCAGTAATGCATGCATTTCCTTCTTGGGCAAGGAAAAAGTCCATCTGAATTAAGGAGGATTCTTGAGAAACCATCTGGAACTTCGTGAATCCTATGAGACCCTCCAACAAGAACATTTTAACTACACTCTAAAAATGAGACAGGCTTCCTGGGGTTATTGGGAAAGAGGCTAGCTTTTGAACGGAATGACCCGCCTATCCTATCTGTAAGCTCTGGAGTTTCTTCATAAGAAAGAGGCTACTTTTGAACGGAATGACCCGCCTATCCTATCTGTAAGCTCTGGAGTTTCTTCATAAGAAAGGAATTCCTAATTGAATTTTCCTGTAACGAGAAGCGTCCCGCACGTTCTGTCTGCTTAGTTGTCGGTTTTCGGACAGCTGTTGTGATCTCCATTTCTTCACAGTGGTAGGCGAACTAAGCATTAGAAAAGGACTTCTGAAATGGATGCAAAAATGAAAACATTTAAATTTCCCTTCTACCCTAGCGTGTTTTGTTGACATTGGTGGGCGAAAAGCTGACGCTTAATTGCATAAATTGCCGACACTACTTTGAAAGGAAGAGCTCCAATGCGCTTGCTTGTGTTGGTACGCGGCTGTTTAATTCGTGTTTGGTGTTAAGGATTGAACTCTGGGATCGGTTGATGGAAAAAACTAAAAAAGAAAAAAGTCACGAGGAACATTTTATTGAAAGCTAACTTACCACCAAGGGAACTTACATGTCATTCATCAACATGTGACCACTAGTTTAAACGGGCCTTCCCAATTGCGGCTTATAAGTAGTGATGACGCTCCGAAAGTTCGGCCCAGGTTGATATCCAAGCTAATTACCGTCTTGGATATCAATCGGACAGTAACAGTTCATTTTCAAAGCCAAAAAAATCCGTAACATGTACTTGAAAAGAGCACAGAGAAACGAGCTGTTCAACGGTGTACTGGGTAGTTTGCAGTTGTGTGTTCGTTAACGTACCAATGTATCATATGGGGGCTGGAACTGTGTAAACAGTAGTAGTAGTATCCTTCGAACTCTTTACTTGACCCAACTGCTTTCGATACTCCGATGGCGAAATTCCGTTCTATTTATCTGACATTGTCCTGTGGTACACACCCGAAGAGATAGAGCATACACGCTCATCGAATCATGCAAGCGCTCAATCCTCTCTTCCTTAGATGGGTTGCCTTCCATGAAGCAAATATGTGTACTCAATTCTGTCACTAATATTTTTAAGCAAAATCAAAACTGCTGGCTGTGCTCAATGTGCTTTTGTGTTAAAAGTACCGTTGCGTTGACTTCGAAGTCCTGGCCTGGTTCAGGAAAAACCAGCTTTGTGAGTCAACAAACCCTACTGCATGATTCCTTGAATAAAATTGTCATGGGATCGCTAACCCAGGATACAAGTGTGATTCGATCTAGGAGGCCAGCATCATAATTACACCTGTTTTGCCAACTTGAATTCAGTCAGTCTAAATACGACACGAACAATCCACCAAGTTACCCACATGTCACAACATATCTAGCTGTTTTTATGTGTGTGCGATTCTCCGCATCCCATTTTACAACCACGTGCAAAAATCTATTGTATGGTATTTTTGTGGGTGTTTCCAGACTTGCCTTCTAGTAAACCCGGACTGACAGAGTACCGCCAATCTCTCCAGCATGCAACAGAGAGACAAGCATTGTGTTGCACATCAAATGGGGCATCCGCTCGCCTGTGCAGACACACTCGCAACACGCGGCCCCTGACTTCAAGTGCACTGTTTGTCAGTAATATAGGTTACACCGTTGTACACTTGCTGAGTGTCCTGCGACTGGAATGCGTGGGGTCAATACGGAAAGGGGCAAGATGTGGAAATAACATGTGAATCAGGTGGAATGGACACCATGCCAAGAAGAAAAGTTGATAAAACGTTTGATCTGTTTAGTGAATTACTTGCACGTGTGCTTCTGTTTGCGTTGACTAGTTCGAGACACCCAACAGTTCAGTGGTCAGGACAAAATTGTTACCCGATTTTATATTAGTTTCTTTCTGCCTCGTCGTCAAAAAGAACAAATAGCGAGGACACGGATTTTGTTCTTAGGGTTCTTGGATTAAGATTCAACTGGACCTCGTGTATCTGCTTTGATGAAGTTCACTTTTCTTCAGCGTGCTTCTGATGTGTGTAAGTTTAACACTGACGAAATTATTTTTCTGCACTACTGAGTATTTTCAAGGACTTCATAAAACATTGCAACGATTCCTTTCTGCGCTAAACATTCCGAAACCTGTCGTACCAACTGTCCAAAAGCTACCCGGCTGAAACTAACTGAACTCATTTACCTTGGGTTTGCTTAGGTAACGTGTTAAGAAGAGCATTTCTCATTGCTTTTTGGAGGTTTGTTTACTGAGCTAGGCCAAACATCTGCTACCTAATTCAGCGTTTCATCTATGAAACCAACGACAGTGAGCTGTCCTGTGATATGAATTGGTATAAACTACAAGAATTATACGACGAAAATAATATGTGCCGGTAGTTTTTGTTAGCAAATTCTATCAACATGATCATTTATGTGTTTCCATGATATAGAAGTGACATTCCACAAAATAACGGAAGTCATCAGCCGGCAACCCATATGATTCAAAGTCAGGAGGAATTGTACTATGTAGCGCATCCATCGAACGAAATAACCATTGCTCCACCGTGGAAATTTCATTTTGAACAGTGTTCAGACTTGGCCTGCTAAAACAGAAAGCGCTTTCAAACAAGGCAGTTCTCCTAACCTATATAATACGTGCTATCAAGTTATACGAATGACTTTCCTAAGTTTTTGAACCTGCCAGTTTTTGTACAGTGACCTTTTGTGAAAACAGGCTACTTTACAACTGAACATTTGGTGGTGACCTACATAGCAGCAAAGTTTGTCCACAAATATGCATGTATTTGCACATCTGAAGCATCTAGTTCTCTTTGCGAATGTGAAAGCGATATCAGGATGAGATTATCTCTAAGGAAAAGTGCAAGTTCGTGCACCATTCCCAACATCCCAGTTGTAAACAAAAACATAATTTGAAACAGCGTATCCCCTTTGGCAATCTCACTATAACCAACGGAACACATGCATTGCAATGTTTTAAAAATTTATTTAATCACCCTTAATTTGGTGGAGTAAAACATGGCAGGTGAATAAATAAAGTAGACTCAGTGTTGAACAGGCACTGGTCAGGTGATTTCTGCAAGTTACATTACCAGTGCCAAAGTAACCGACTTGTGTTTTTCTGTTTTTTATTTTTATTTCGATCAGCTGCGCTTCATTTATAGCTCAAATCAGAAAAGTTGGGCTGTCGTTCAATTCATACTCAGATGTAACAGGGAGATTAGGGTGATTGGAATTACGTGTCCGTGATGGACCAAATGCTTTATATCAGGAAATGTCATGAACAAGTCGCCCAATACTGCTTCTACTTTCTTCGTCTTACGTTTACGCTTTATGTCCGCGATTAAGAATGGTAAAAGAAGAGCTGACATGTCATCAGTTGTAATGAAACCAAGTACAATCAAAATTTCAGTTCCAGACAGCGTGTATCGAGTAGCCCCAAACACGAAGTGTTCGAAACTAATGACAATTAGCCAATGATCAAATAGACCGATATTCTTTGGGGTCAAAAAATCGACAGCGCTCAAAACGACCCAAAATTCGTGGTTCGTTTAGCTTGGTTCTCCCGGCTAGTGTTCGGACGCCGAGGTTATTATTGCGTATTTGAATTCGAAACCTTCAGCACTCTCATCCCCATCCGTTAATAATTAATCTTCCAAGGGTCTGTGGTCTTGTAAAAGTGCAGACAAGTAAGAAAGTAAGAAAAATTTCTTAGGTTGTTATGCCATGCTCACAAAAATGCCGGATCTACAAATACTTTTTTTCTGATGTGAAACGTACCACGATAATTTCTAAATCATCCATTTCTAAAATAAATCCAGAGACATGTTGTTAATAGAGCCCTAATCTGTTTCTGCTTTTTCAAGGTGTGCATAATCACTTGAAAGTTCTTTTTATTTTCTAGCTGATGCACTAACACCTGTACACAACTCTCATTAGGATAAGAGGCAGCCGTCCAAGTGTTTCAAATCGGATAGTCGAAATGGAACTTTGTGATATAAACTGCAAGGCCACCTGTCGTACCTCGAAAAGCTGATCATTTTCCTGACAGTCTGTACACCTTAATTCTACATGACTTTACAATTACACGCATCTACGTTTAGCACTTCCTCATTACATCAGAGGCTGCTGATACAGCCCCTCCGGTTTACGGGCATAGCGGACAGGCAACTGGGGTAGAGAGATAATGTAGTACGTACTAGTCGAGCTAACAAGAGTGCATTGTGCATCTTGTCGTCCTAAGAAATAGCAGATGATGTGAGAAAGAATAAGGGAAATACCGATTTAGTATTGACTGCGCCTAAGCAGGCGTTTTTGACGAGTCCAGCCTGAACTTCCCAACGTAACCGCCATAGCTGTAGCCAGCCCGCATGTGCAGGGTTTCCGACAGAACAAAGTTCTTCCAACGAAATCCAAGTGCTTTAAAACGGCATGCGGTTGATTAGAGATTTGGCTATTAGCAAAATGTCAGTAACACACGGGCAAATAACTGACCTTGAATCTGTTGTTTGTCGGTTAAGTTTTGCATGCAACGACGTATGGAGAGCAAGCAATTCCCTATGGTTCGCTTTTCCAGGCTCACCGGGCGGGCTCGTGAACAGGCTGACGGCTACACGCTTCTTGTTTGTGTGTTGAGTACGGATACAAGACAGAGGATACCGCCGAAGGTTTCAACGATCTATATCTTGCTTTGCGGTCCGCCGCTTGAAAACGCGTGATGAAACTCCTTCTATGGAGCCATGAGAGTGTTTGATAAAAAAGACTGGTCGGAGGACAAAACGGTACTGTTGAAGCTCAAGGTGTTTGAATGGCTTTCAGCTGCTCTAGGACGAATTTCTCGGGAGAGTGAGCTCTGGTGGCTTGTAGAGGTGCTATAAACTCATGAGGTACTTTATGACGGTCCACAGAAGGGGAGAAAACACTTGATATTTTTTGAAACACGAATATATTCTGGACAAAGTTTACGGAACTTGTAATCTTTAATATGCTGAATGAAATTTCAAGTCAATTTCGGTAGGAAAAAGTAAATCACGTCGACACGCAGTCTGCCATCGCAGTCCGAAAATTACAGTATAGACGTTGATTCGTGGAGCAAAAACATCAACCTGTTTTGTCCATGAGGAAACAACGAACGTTCAACACAAATGAGATACGATGAGATGCCGCAATGAAATGTTGCTTTGTGTCCATTTTCTCATGGGTTGATAAACGAAACCAACTAACAGCATCAAGTCCATTGTGACAACGCATGCTGAGACTTGCTTTACCGACAGCGAGTGTTTTTTGCATTGTACGAGTACTACGTACAGGTTCTAGTAACCCAAACAGTGCTTGATCTTGTTGTCCATTCCGCCGACTGGATACAAATGACGATCAATGCGTGTGAGAACGTCACAATCCAAGACTGATGTAGTCAGCCGTAGCTGTAGCCGAGGGCTCTGAAAACAGAAGCATTCACGACAGCGTCGAAGAATGATACTAGGTGACCGAGAACATATGGTGATACTCTATTGGTGGCGCAGTCACCACGACAATGAGGCTGCTCGTTGGTTCAGTACGATCATTAATGTGGCGCGGACACTGACGGAAAAGTGAAAATTCGATGTACGAGCGAGATAGGTAATGCGAGCAACACATTTTTGCGGAGGACTTTTTCACATGAGGTTCTTCATGATGGATATCAGGAATTAGAATGGGATCCATGGGACATGTTCTACCAAATTGGGACAAACAGCAGCCTCGTGCGGAAAAG